GGAATATTTATACCCATCTATAGATAATGATACTTTATATGAAATAATCTACAATGATTGTTTTTTAAATTCATTATTCTAGGAATATTGAATATAATGCTTGTGATAATGACGTAGCCTGTTTTTTTTCCATTTAAATTATTTATTTTTTAATAAATACATGTCTAGCCCATCCTAACAGTTATTTGTGATCATTTGTACATATGTATTCATGTATTTTCAGGAAAAATGAAACTGTTGCATGAATATTTGACTGATAAGTGTGACAATATGTTCCTAATATTATCAAACTATCAGAAGTTTGAAGCTCAAAAATGATAATTTCAATGTCTGTTTACTAAATTGATGAAGCAAACCTATTGATTACTTTCTCAATGACCTTGACCTAATTCTTTTTAAGTTGAGAAATGGCTAAATTTTAATTGTCAAAGTTAAAGGAAAGGTTACACAATCAAAGTTGTAAATTAAGGCCAGTTATGCAAAAAATCAACTTTTGTTTGAAATTTACAAACAAAAACTTATTCCTAGAAAATAGTTTATCCACTTTGTTGATTTTGTGTTGGATATATACTGAATAAGTAATTGAAATTTTATTTATTTTTTTTGGTATTGTCAAATATAACCTATGAATTAAATGAACTTCTATAAATCCATTGTCACCATATAAATTGATCCATCAGATAATAAATTATTAGAATAGTTGTGTTCAAATTATACTAAGCTTTTTCTTAATTGTTCAAGTTTCTGGTGATTGTTATTTATTATAGAGTGGAATATAACTGAATATGCTGAAAGTAACAATAAAAGACAAAAAAAAGCATTGTTTAAATTAATTCTTATTTAAACTTTATTTTTATTTGTATTGTCAAGCATTGCTATTGCTGTAGAAAATAAAAATAGATGATAAACACAATGCCAGACTAATTGATGTGTTGCTGTGATATTTACATTCTCTTTCAGTTTAACTCTCATTTAGAATAACAAATGCAATCCTGTCTCTTTTGTGCCTTTTGACAATGACAGGGATGCAAAACACCATTTCAAGCATAAATAATTGTTATCTGTTTTGTTACTTTTTAGCACTGTTGAAGAATTTATGACATGTAAAATATCATAATTTGGAAACCAGATATAAAACACTGTAATAATTTTATATTATTTAAATCTTTTGATATTTTTATTTAAATTTATTATTATTTATTAATTTAACTGTGATAAATTTTAAATATAGCTATCACCAAAAAGTTAAATATTTATTTTTCACATTTCATATTAAATTTACTAACTGATTAGATTTATTGATATTAATCAATTAATTAATTAACGTTAAATGACAATATATATAAAAAGGTTTAATTGAAAAGAAAGTGTGTTTTCTTTTTTTATTTAAAGTACTAAGAAGAAATTCTGATTAAAATGTTGTTTTTGGTTTTATGTTTGTACATTTATTTATCTGAATATGTATAATACACACACACAAACAATATAATATACAGTGTGTGTAATTACAGTACATGCTGCTTGCTTCAACCACTTTGGGATTAGCTGTACTGATAACAATAATCTAGTGAGATAATATTATCCACTGAAAGTAATTAGACCACAATCAGTGGAAATTCTAGTTTTATTGAATCAGATAATTTAAAAACATGTTAAAACAATTAAAATTTTTTAAAAAAGTTAATAATTAAATTTATTTTTTAAGTTTATTAATTATAATGTTGAATGACCTATTCAAGTAATTATTAGTGTTTGCTGGCTAATTTTTGCAATATTTCAGTAATAAAATGTTCATATTAATGTTTTTGAAACTTGACACACGTATGCTGTACTGTATATCATGATGAAGTATTTGCAGAGGTTTTTGCACTTACACATTTGTTGAATTTATTGTGTTGTTCTTCAATATTATCAGTTCACAATATCAGTCTCTGTGATCCTCTTCAGTAACAATTTGGCATATTTCTGATTATAGATATAACTTCATTTTAAAATGTTTCCCTGCTTATTTTTAAAATAACATTGTTAAAGATTTATTTCATCAAGTAGGAAAATTCTTTTAGGAAAGAAGTTATATTTTGTCTAAGTCTAAAATCCTTACATACATTTCTCTTCTGAAATTGTTGCATATCTGTTATATTTGGAGGAAGGAATATTATTTTAGTGTTTTTTTAATGACACATTGTTAACATATGAAGATGCTGTATAATTCAGTGGTGTGCGGTGACATTTGATAATAGGGAGGGAAGCTGTGCTGGCCCTGGATAGAATCATTGGAAGTGTTATATGATACTTTGGTGTGTAGCATCCACCAGCTAAACTGCGTGAGGTTGGTGATCTGTAAAGTGCATGTGTATTGTGGCTGCTTTATATAATTCAAATATTTTCGTCGTGGAGGCTGTCCCATATTCAACAATACAGCGCTTCCATTGGGAATATGCATATACGAATTTATATTCGAATATACAAGAGCAATCTTATCATTGTTTTTCACATGTAGTATAGAAATTTGTAATAAGATACACAATACAATTATAATACTTATAATAAAATATAAATTTTAATTAATTCAAACTATGCTAAAATATGGATATAATCACACAATATATATTTATATTTTAGAAAATACAAGGGAAGTGGTGCTTCCACAGCTTCCATGGACGGCACACCACTGATATAATTGCATACTGATAAAATGATCTTTCATGTTCAAGTCTTTGTTTTTTGGCCTTACACATTAGCACAGCAAAGAACTGTATTATGTTCCTTTAGTGATTTAAATCCTTTAGTTCTTTTATGTTTAAACATAAGTATGCTTGGGAATTGCACAAAATAAAGTGCTGGTTTTTTGCATTGTAGCTATCCCTCTGAATATTCAGTATAAAGAACTTTTGGCTATTCTCTCTCTGGTCACAATTCAGCTGATGCAGAATCAGAACTTTTTTCCTCATCTGTACACAATGTTCTCTCATTTTCTCTGATGGTTGAACCATCTATCGGTTACAATAAATTTTCTTTCCCAGTTTTTATATAATTCTGTTTTTTGACATTAGTGAACATGTGCATAAAACTTCAATGCTAATTCAACTTCACTATCTTTTCTAATTTGATTTTTTTTTTCTTATGAATCTTATTATTTTTTCAGCTAACATTTCATTATTTACACTGTTTTTAAAATTCTGCACAAAATTAGTTGTGAAATTTTTAACTGGTCTGCAGAATAGCATTAAATAAATTGCAAAAAATGTGCAATTTATACTTCAAATTTATCTTTGAGGGACAAATCTTTTCATTTCTTATTTTTCTTCCATTATGCTAATATAGTATAGTACAGGTAACCCCCGTATAACACGGCACTTTTATAGCACGGATTTGCTCTTACATGGTTCGAGAATTGGGAACATCCCCCGTATAACATGGTGCTTTTATAGCATGGGTTCACTCTAATAAGGTTCGGGAATTGGATAAAACCCTCATACAACATGAAATGTAATAAAGGGTGCGTTCTTTTATACCTCCGTGTAACTCCACGCAAGCATTCTAATTGTTTTCGTGGCTACTTTGAATGCTCTTTCAACAAATAATTCATTTAATGGTTAAATTTTACAATTGGGACCCTTCTTTTGCCTCTAAAAGTTCATCTTAGAATTATAGATTCCTCCATCACGATACTATCGATAGTGCGGGCGCCGCCATCTTTCTTTCACCGTCGTTCCTAAATGCCTACAAACAGCAGTGCACTCCCGTTGCAGAGCAACTGCTATTAACGAACGCACCCACAAACTGTTACCAGTTGATGATGCTCATGCTGAGATCATCATATAAAATTAATAATACTCTGGTAAAATATTTACTTAAATAATAAATCAGTATTTTACCTATGAAAAAAATGAATAATAAATCTGATTTAAATAAGGATTTAACAACATGTTTTTTTAATTTTTGGAACCTAACCCCCCTTTTCGCACTAGTTCTTTGTTTCGTATAACACGGCAGTTTTTTGGAACGTAACTCCCATGTTATACGGGGGTTACCTGTATTATACTTTAATTAATTAAACAGTTATTCTTATTTTTATCTGTTTCTTATCTGAAATCCTTTGAAAATTGCCATTTTAGAATTTCCATTTTTTTATTTACAATTTCTGCACAAATTAAACATGATAATCACAATGATGACCATCAACATTCTTCAACAACAACAAATGTAGTCTATAAATGTAGTAAAATATATTGTACCAGAAATAATGTGATTACCTTTTGAAACTCTGTAAACCCGAGACTGTTTTAGTTACATTATATACGAGTACTGTCAAAAGTACTTATGAATTAAGCATATTTCTCTCTAATGCTGATAGACAGTTGTGTTACTTAATGTTTATTCTTAATAAAAGATATCTTATATGATAGAATCATTTTAAATTAAATCATTCAGACTGTTGTGCTAGAATTTTTATTGGAATAACATAGTTTACAATCATTTTTTGTTTTGTCAGTTAGCTGTTATTACCCATATCAGCAAATTTAAGCTTATTATTAGTAACATTGTGATAATTATAAATAAATTTTTGAGTACAATAAGCAAAAATTTTGTAATTATGTTTTGGGGCATGCTGATTCTGATAATTTTGGCTGACCAATGATTATGAATAAGTTGTTTTTAAGTTACTGTATCTGTAGCATTAGTAGTGGGTTGAAAGGATGATAAATTAATATAATTTTTTGTATCATTTTTTGCATTTAGTAATTCTGATCACTTCTTTTGATTTTTTTTTCTTTTTTTGTTTGTTTTTAAGAAATCGGTTAAATTTATTTATGAAATTTTCATCATTAAAAAAATTATAGTGTGTTCAGTTTTATAGTTTTTCTTTTGTTTTGTGAAAAATTAAAATTTGTATTTTTGTTATCAAATTAATGAAAACAAAATTGAGAAACTGATATTGGCAAATTAGTCATTTAAATTTTAAATGTATCATCCATAATTTATTTTTCTATTTATAGGAATTAGAATTAATTGAAGACAATTGGAGGAAAGAAACAAATCAATTAAGTGAATTAGTTTCGAGACTACAAGAAGAAAATTGCAGACTTAGTAATTCCCTTGAAGAGAAAGAGAGCTTTTTCCCAGAAAAATGCCATAGTAAGTCACCATATTTCTATTTTTGAACAGTATAAATATTCATAAATTGCAACTATTTAGTTATCATTGTTATTTAAAAGTTTTTTTTTTATCAATTGTAAATTTTCATAATTGATAAAGAACTTAGTTTTTTTTATGTCATTTTTTTAAATTAATGTATTTATTTAAGAATTTTATGTATTAAAAATTATTCACTTTGTTTTCAACTTAATTTTTTTTAAAATCATAGTAAATATGTTTGATTGAGGTCTCTTGTTATAAAGGAAGGCTCAGGATTGGTCCTTCAATTCAATTAATTCTTTTACTTAAATCTGCATTTATTTTTAGTGTGTAAAATATAACAATGATAATTACTATTAGATGTAAACAATAAAAATAAAATTGTGACATATTTGTATAAATTACTACTTTACCTTAATTTTTATTACTACTTTATTCTAACTCAGCATACACTAAAGTGATATGGAATTCCAAATGCTTGCAGAAGTTTCTGATAATGATGAGGAAGTTCCTGAGTATGAAAATCGTACAAGTGAAGCTTCGTAAATGAAAATTCTGATGATTTATGCCATGGGACCCAATCAGAATGTCTAAAATATTTTGTCAAAAAGAACATAAAATAAAATGGAAATGAGAGCTGGCCCAGCAGCAATATCATCTGAAATACTCATGGAGTTACAAACTATGCCGACAGCAGAATCAGAGACATGAAATCTTTGTTTAAAGCCGTATTTTTTCAGTCTTTTGAAAATAGAAATGATCAATATTGAAGAACAATGTACTTTAGTCAAAGTGGAAAAATCTAGATAGTATTGTTTTTCCAGCATATGTTGGTCTTCTGCTTCTAGAGAAAGTTTATTGCTTACACAATAAATCTATGAAAAGCTTATGGAATGAAGGAATTGGTCAAAATATATTTAGAGAAACAATGTCACTTGAAAGTTTCTATACAGTTCTGGATATTATTCCCTTTCAAGATAAAGCTGCAGGAATGGAAAGGTGATGAACTGATAAACTTGCTTCTGTTTGAGCTATTTGGGAAAAATGGGTAGAAATTTGCCTGAAGTTGTATAATCTTACACCAAATGCTACTATTTGGTGTAAGATTGATGAACAGTTAGTTGTTTTAGTGGCTGTTATCCTTTCATGCAATATATTCCCAGTAAATCAGCAAAATGTGATATAAAAGTATGGACACTGTGTAATAGAAAAACTTCAAATGTTTTGAAAACACAAGTTTACACAGATAAAGTGCTTGGAGCAGCAGGTAAGCAAAATCAAGGTATGCATATGATATATAGCCTTAGCAGTGACTAAGACATAACATACAGTGCAATAATATTTTTACATCTTATAATTTGAACTGATTGCCACTTTTATATTTTAAAAACAATGTTAGGAACTATATGATAAAACAAACCAAAACTTCCATAACAAATGACAAAGAAATGCATAATTCAGTATTTTTTTTTTAATATTTGTTGTAAATTATATTCCATAAAAAGTAAAAATATTCTCTTGAGTACAATGCACCATAAGAAATATGTAAGTGAATGAAAGAAATGGTAAAAGAACCATAAATCTTTTTAAAGTACAATGTAAATAAAGGGACTACAGACAAGATCAAGCTGTAAGTACAGTAAATACAGCTATACAAGAAAAAACTGTTGGCTAGTAATACTTTTCTGTAATATGCTTGATATTTCTGTTTACAATGCTCTTATTTTGTGGACCAACAACGTAGAACCAAATTGGCATACCAACAAAATAACCAAAAGATTATTTGGTAAATTACTCATGAAAGATCATATATTATCAAGAACACTGATGCCAAGGACTGAAGAGTCACATTACATTGTAAAAAGAATTCAGCAAGGAGATTCAAATACAGCTTCTTCCACACCAGTAGGTGTAATGGATGAAATCACCAGAAAATGTGGAACATAAATTTTTCAGATGAGATGCAGATATAAAGGCAAATATGCTGTGTAAAAATTGTAAAATCGTATGTAACACTCGTTACTTATATCCCAATTGTAAATCTTAGTTTTCTAAACCATTTTGAAAATATTTATTGTATGTTAGGTTTTAAAATATGATACTATCTTTTTAATAAGCAATGTATAAATGTATTTAGTTGATTTTTATACAGGATGATTCACTGGTTGCATTCAGTAGTTTTTCTTAAACTGTTGGTTATTAGTCCCATCTTCCTATAGTTTATAGAGCAGATGGATACAATTTTTGGTGACCTTGGATGACCTTTAAAATAAGCAGTTTTTTGAGGTACAGAACAAAATAGGTTTTTTTTTTCTTAAATTAATACCTTATTACTTCAGATTTAAGCTTCACTTTTTACATCTTAAAAATTGAAATAAAATTAGGGTGTGACTTAAATTTAAAGTGAATATTTTAACTTCTTATTTTTGCCAATCTTCCACCCTAACAATTGGGTCTTTGCTTTATGCTCTACACATGCACATAATATTATGATCATTGATAGAAGTTTATTTGGTGGTTTGTCATTTGCATTTTTCTGATTTAACCCAGTTGCTGTTTGATAACAGCTGTGTAGAATAGAATTTTAAATTTTTTTTATTATCCGTACTCACTAATAATGGAAAAACGGTTTACATATGATGCTGAATTCAGAAGAAAAGTTATATTGTGTACTGAAGAAATTGGAATTTGGCCGTTTCCTTGTTAGCAATAGGAATCATTTTTGAATAATTCTGAATAACACATTTGATCACAATGTTTAAACAGTATTTCACATAATCTGTCATGTCAAAATTTTTGTTTTAGTCTATTGAAAAGATCAAACTGAAAAAAATCACTCCAAAAAATTTCCCAAATTTTCTGTCAATTGATAAAAAAAAAAAAATCCCCCAGTCTGGAAATGCTGGATGGCATTGCATGAAAACTGTCTTCAGTTCTCAACATCACTTCCTACTTTTCTGTTTAAACTTGCTGCGTGACATCATGAAATTGCTATATGTATGGTGCATGGTCTGCCAATCACATGAGACCTAGACATTCTGCTGTTTTTCTTGAAGTGTGCTTTGTAATTCAGTTTCGTGTTGAATGTCAAAATAAGAGGACTAGGATTAGGATTTTTATTACCACTTTAATAAAAATATCACCAAGTGGCGATTTGCATGGTGTTAAATATTAAATGAAAGCTAATATCTAGTGGATAACCAATAATATGTAATTTAATACATAAACAATTTTTTTGAAATAGATAAAATTTGTATATATTATAAAAGTATTTATTATATGTGTAAACATGATAGGTGATTATATAACTTTTTGATGTATTTAAGCTATTGTGCATAATGCATAAATAGTATGACAGATTATTTATAAAGATAATTAGCATTAGCATTTATATTTTTCAAATTTGATAATATGTTTTATTTGTATTTTTTTTTTTTTTTGTCAAAATCAGTTCTAAAGTAATTTAGAATCAAATTTTTAATTGTAAAGAATTAATTTAATATGCTTATAATAGAATTTAAGCTATTTTAATAAGCATGAATTTTATTTATTATTCATAAGTTTTAAAAATTGGGTTACTTCCTGGTTTATTACCTTTTTTAAAATGCTAACTGATTGAACTAAAAATGTATTAGTAAACATCATACGTTGTCATACAACTAGTTATATTGAATCATATGACATTTTTAATTATAGTCAGGTGTATGTTACATAAGTTACATACACATTTTATTTATTCTGCTTTTATATTGATAATACTTTTGACTTTTTTTTATCAATGTTTTAAAAAACTATTTATTTTATTTTCAAAATATATTTTAAATACCAATTATTTCAGATTGCCTTACAGAAACAGATATTAAAGTGCTTCAGAGATTAAGAGAAGTTATAAACAAACAAAGAGAACAACTTCAGTCTCAAGAAAAAGAATTATGCAAACAAACCAGTGAAATTGAGAATGTAAGTTTTATGATATGATTTCTAATTTGAAAATTTTTTATAGAAATATATATGAATTTTTCCTTTTCTGTTTTTTCTTTTTTTTTTTTTTTTAATTTTTAATATGTTGTGTAAGTTAAAAAAAATGCCTAAAATAAATCTCAGAATTCAAATTACTTACAAATTAATATTTGTGAGTAATGCAAGTAAATATATTTTTTTAATCTAATTACTCTTATTTACTTTTATAGTTTATAATAAATTTATCAGAACAGAATTTATCACATTCTTTTTTAAATTATTTTATTATCATTATGTTTGTTTTTATTTTTAATATTTCTATAAATATTTATGTAGATGGAAAAACAGATGGAAAAATCTTCTCATTTAAATAAAGAATTGAGGAGGCGAATGAAATATTTACAGTCTCAGATGCATACGCTAATTGAAGAAAAATCTGACCTTCAAGCTCAGGTTCAAGATCAACAGAGAGAAATGCAAACTCTAGAGAAAAGGCTTAGTGAAGCTGTAAAGGAAAACATAGATTTAACTTCTGCTGAAGTAAGATTTGAAAGAAAATAATTATTTCTTTGGTTTGATATTTGTAATAATTAAAAAATGTATGTTTAATATAAGAATAATTAATAGTAATAATTATATAATTTGATCTTATTATTTCAAAAATTTATGAAAAGCTAGATAATGATTGTGTTTACAGGGTTTCTACTGGTGAGGTGAATCAGGAAAGCAGGCAAAAGTCAAACTTTTTGCAAATGCCTGTGAATGTCAGGCCTTTTTCAACTAATTAAGTCAGATAAAACAACTTCTTACTGTATTACTGGAAAGCATAATGTACCTCAATAATCTTTATAGACCAGTAACAACAGTTTGTTGTTACTGGTCTATAAAGGTAAGTAAGGCAAAATTTCCATTATTTCAAAAGTTTGTGTGCAATGTAATAAATTGTAAGGTATGTAATCACAGAACAGATGCAGAATTTTAATCACACAATGCATTCTGTGACAAGTTTATAAGGCAGCTAGTGGAATGTCTAAAATTTGAGTGTTGCATCACTAGTAGCAAGGAGACTTGTGTGTGATACTCTTATCAACCATGGAGGTATTAAGCCTATCCCATTACAAAATCTTTGATTCTTTCTGTACATAATGCAAGTCAGTTGAAGAAAGAAGCATTAGAAAACAAAAGAATTGAAACAAGTGAAGAAAGGAAAAGAAAGCATAGGCTGGTGTCTAAACTGAAACTGTAGAAATTGCAAGCTTAGAAGCAAAATCTGCTATCATATGGTAAAAGTTCTGTAGCAGGGAGTGATAAAGTGCAGCAACTAAGAAATTTATAATATTAAATAGTGCTTCTAGCCCATGAACTTTAATTTAGATTGAATTAGATAGCCTAATAACTAGGATTGTAATAAATTGGAGGGTTTATCACATCAGGTGTTGACTGGAATTACTAGATTATACTAAAATAACCTTTAATTAACCACAATCAAATTTTTAGTAGGAATGCATTTTGGGTGCAAAGACCCCTCATCAGCCTACATACTGTACATTCATATAGTATAGTTCTAATATCCATCAAGACCATCATACCATAAGTAGTAAACCAAGACTAAACATTTTCCATATATATATATACAGAGTCCTATTTACATAAAACTAATACATTACAATATACTAAAACAAAAAATACCAAGCATATAAATTTAACGATGAGTTATATTTTATCCTGGACTGGTAAATTTCTTTTTCCAAATTCTGAGAGGTAATTCCACTATTAAATTATTGTCAATTATATTACAAACTGAAAAGAAATTGAATCAATAAATTGACATTATTATAAATTAGTTTTCCTTTAAATATTGTCCAATGTAATAAAAATTTAAAGGAAAAGATATTAATTCAATCTTTTCACACCTTTCTGTTGTTAAAATAATAAAATAAGACCTTCCAACCAATTCATAAGAATAATAAAAAACCACTTCCTCTAACAGCTTTATTACAGTTTCCTTTACAAAACGATTTGACTTTCACACCAACATCTGTTTTGCCTCATTTTCAAGTTCTGTAATATGATGTTACTCCACCCCTCATGTAGCCTCAGTCCCACATTGTTATTTATTCTATCATCTTCATGCACTTTCAAAATTTTTATATGTTGTTGTAATTTTCTTTTTATTTGGTTTATTTTTTGTCAGTATAAATTTAAGAGAAAAAACATGAGAAAAGTACTCAATGAAATAATTTTTGATATTTTAATTATGAAATCTGTAAGATTGGAGGAGAGTTTTATAAAACTTTTCTTTTATGTTAGAATATTTCTAATGAAAGTTCACCTAGTAAAAAATAAGTCAACTAATTCTTTTAATTTTATACAAAAATTTTGTTGTTATAAATTTTTCGGTTAAATATTTTTTAATAAGTGAAATTATTAATAATCAAAGGATAAAGCTGGAGTCCTTATTGAGCTATAACTTGGCTAATTAAATATAGATATTATCTAATTTGAACTAAAGATAGGAGATTAACTTGCCATCTTGTATTAAATTTAGTAATTAAAATTAAATTAATTAATTTGGAATATTCTGGAAGAAAAGATTGATTCAAAGTGGGAATTGAACATATTGCTTCTGCTTACCATATAGATATGTTGCTAATTTCAATATTTATATCTTTACTTCCAGACCAATTAATTTAGAAGATATTACTATATAGGTCAAAATTTATTACTTATTGTATAATTTTATTTTGCTTATTGCTAAATTAAATTTTTATAGATGAAATTAGTTCCTGATTTAAGAGGAAAAATAATAATAAATGCTGATGATCCCAATAGACCACGTTTTACATTAGATGAATTAAGGCACATATTATTTGAACGAAATGATTTGAAAGCAAAGCTAAGTGATCTAGAAGATGAACTAAGTATATACAAACCAAAAGTTCCAAAGTAAGCAAATTACATTTAAACGTTTTATAATTTTAAGTATTTTAATAACCCGTTTAATATGTTTAGACCAGAGAAAGCTCTCTCAGCTGATGAGGATCTTCCAGTTCAAGGCCCCATCAACAGAGAGCCAGATGAAAAATTATATCCTTCAAGAAGTAAACATGCAGGAATTAGAAAATTGTAAGTGTACCTTCTTGAAAATTTTAAATTTATATAAGATGCTTAAAATGAACTAAAAATTATATTTTTGTCAATTCAAACAAAATTTTTTAATAAATTTCAAAGTTTAGAGTAGTAGTAAAAACCTAAATATTTTAAGACTAAATATAATATACAGTGGTGCCTCGTACTTTGAATTTAATTCATTTCAAGAGACCATTTGAACTCTAAATCATTCAAAGTTTGAATCAATTTTTTCCATTAGAAACAATGGAAAGAGAATTAATTCATTCTCAGACCCTAAACCAGGGGTTGGAAACCTTTCAGCAGTGTTGTGCTGAACCTAAGTCATATTGTAATTCTGGCGCTGACATGATTCTACCAATTTTGTTACATATAGTATCAAAATTGGTCTGGTTATAATGATTTCAAAATTATATATAAAATAATTTAAAAACTTTTTATAACTGGATCTTATATTATTGGTCATTCAATCTTTTACAATACATAGGATGGATATCATATGTGAAAAGAATGTTTTGTCAAATTTTGTCGTCATATTTATTAAAAACTGTATTACAAATTTTATAACATGCTTTTTTTTCAATAAAAAATACTTAGTTTGATTAAGAAGAAAATATCAAGAATTCTAATACAATTATTATTTATTATTAATCAGAGCTTCTGATCAATTAATGCAAATCTTGTCCTTGTACTTTTTCACTCAATTGCTCAATATCAGGTGTGTAATTGGTCACTTTTAGCTTTATGCAGACTTCTGAATGTTCAGATGTTAGACAACTTCTTTGTGTATTCAAAATATTTTTCATATGTGAGGAAATTTGTTTACATAGATAAATTGAACAAAATGTCGAAAGCAGAGCACATGCAATTTTCTTCAAGCAATTAAATCTTTCAGATAAAGATTTCCAACAATTGAGGATGACAGCCAACATTTCCATGCAGTTTCCTTCAAATGTTTTCCATAATTCTTATGATATTAATTTGATTGAATTTCATCTCAAAACTATCAATGTTCATCCACTCAAAAAGATATAAGTCAAGTGGATCATCTTTAGTTTAATTAAGTTGGGGTTGATGAGGAAATGAAATATGGTTGCATGAGTTTGGAAGTCTTCACATCAATTAGAAAATTCTTCTTTGAGAGCTTCATCATACTTTTGAAGTTTGTATTTGTTAACAATAAATTTATTTGTATGGAGATTTTTACATTTGGAAAGTATTTGTAGGTGCTAGTAGTAATATCACGACACAATATATCTAATTTTGAATTTTTAATCCTTTTCAATATTAAGATTCTAATACTGTTTGTTCCTTTCCTTGCAAATGCAAGATTGTCATTCAGATATTGAGTTATATCAGTCAGAAACATTAATTCTGTTTTCAGCATTTAATTCTCAGGAATGTTGTTCTTTTTCATTAAGATATGTCTTAATTTCTAAGAGATTTCTTAGACATGATACAAATCTCTTAAAGATATTACCTTGACTAAGCCAACGAACATTGCTGTATTGTGCGAGGTCTTTATATTCACTTTTCATTTCTTCCAAAAGGGATTTAAATTGCTTGTGTGTCAATGAAAAACAAGAAACTATGAAATTAATTATCTTAACGACAGTGTCCATTACAGAATTCAAATGCTGGGATGAGATTTTCGCAACTAAACTTTTCTGGTGCAGTGGAAAATGAATATTCAATATCCAATATTATTTTCAAGGAGTTTAACAAAACCCCTTTCCTTTCCAACCATTTCATGGGCTGCATTAGTAGTAACACAAAATATTTTGTTTATGCTAATTTTATTATTTTCAAAGTAATTCAAAAAATGCAATGGTAATATCTTCTCCATTGGTTCTGCCAGAAAGAGGAAGTAAACAACATAATTCTTTATAAAAATATTATGTCTGTTCTCTCATCAACAGCAACACTAAATGCAGCAGATTGCTGTATTTTGCTTTATTTGTTTTATTAAGTTATGGCAACACAACACTTGGGTGATCTTTCCAGGGGGGATGCTTTCCATGAGGTCTTTATAAGAGTAACTGGCCCATATTCAGGCATTTCAAACATGGAAAAACCTGGAAAACTCAACGTGGCCAGCCTGTCCTGGCGAGGCATGAACCCATGACAGAACTCCCAGTGTTCAGGGAACAGAACCGCTTGGCTACTGGTGGGCCGCAGATTGCTGTAATCCAGTTTTCTGTTTTGTTGTTATATTTTTAGCCATATCTGTTATTTGTCTCTCAATTGATCTCACAAAAGCTGGTATTTCTTGAATTTGAGATGATATTATTAGTTTATTTGGTAAATTACTGAATAAAATGTCAGCACTTTTCAAAAATGTTTCTTTGATGACTTCTTCATCTGTGAAAGGTTTTCCTTTTGAAGCAACACAATGAGCAATTGTATAACTACATTTAGTGGTTTCAATTATTTGAGTAAAAGAATTATTTGTTTCTTAAAGCCAGAAACAGTTCTCCTTATAGCTTCATTTTTCTCATCAGAGTTTTTAAATGTGTAATTAATAATTAAAATATAGTTTTTATTACATTTCTATTCAGTCAGAGTACTGCTGAAAATCATCCTGTGTGCCACATTTGTCATGCTTGCCACAGGTTGCTGATCTCTGCTCAAAAACAATAGCCATTTTGATAAACTTAAACAGCAAATACACATAATTTAGGTTAAAAATAATGCAATAAATGCCCTAAATAATAAATTAAAACATGAAAACAATAAATAAAATACATAAATACTATATAATAAAATGAAAATTGCATTTACTAAACTTTAGTGAGGAGTGATGATTTTGTTTCTGAAGTTCACTGTGCAGCTGCTTGGCTTTCTCACAAATAATTCTATTGGAAATGATATCACCAGCCAATTTCTTCTCATTTATCCATACATAGAGGAATTTTTCCATCTTAGTAACATGTGATCTGGTGTTCAATGTTGTCACACCTTCAGGTACATTTTCTGTTTTTATTACTTCCTTGTTCTTAATCTGTTCAAGGCCATGCTTAAGTATATTTGTGGTAAGCCTAGTGGCATCATTTGGCCAAACCCAAGGGTACTCGTTTTCAATGTAGTACATTTTTAAACTGATAGATGGCATCAATTTTGCTAGAATTTTACAAGAGCTGATGATTTGACTGAATAGTTCTTGCCTTTATCATGAGTTAAAAATTTTTATTCTGCATATGCTCAGTTATCATAAACCACTTTAAACTGGAGCTTATAATAATGTAAAATTGGCAATTCAAGACGAAAATGTTAAGCAGCAATAAAAAAATAAATTTTTATATTTATACATATCAGGTATTAATCACATGAGTGAGTTTTTTTTTATTTAATGAAAGAATTAATAAAGATTTTCATGTAACAGACAAAATTATGGTGCCTTCCTCTAGAAAATGAATTAAATGTTACTGACATTCACCACGTCACAATGTAAAATAAGTTTTTCTAGATATAAAATACACTAATTCTTTTAATGTATATTATTTTTAATTGTAAAGTAACTAAAAAGCTTTTTCTAAATGACCAGCAAAATTTTAGGCTGAACTTAAACATAAAAGCCTGTGGCTGCCAGCAGGTGTCATAAAACTCTGCCTTGAATGGGTTAATTAATAGATAAGGATTATACATATATATTCACATAAAAACTAAAAATAAAACGAAGTTCTGAAAGTGCACAAGCATAATGTAAAAGATACTTTCACAACAAGAGATAAATTGGGCAAACAACAGATGGTGTTTTTGCAGTAAGTATTTTTTTCATTGCATGCACATTTTAAATGTAGAAGCATTGTTCAAACTCCAGGCTGATTTTCTCTTGAATTTAGCATCTAAACTCTGGAACATTTGAAGTTGTTTGAAGTACCAGGTACCACTGTGCATTTTTAATAATAGTTGATTACTAATAATCATCATTTTAAACGTTTCATTCAAACATTTTCCTCTTTTTTATTTGTTCTTTATCTTTTTGGGATAAATTCATGATACTAACTTACTAACTTTTTTCTTGAATTTCAAAACCCAAAAACATATTCTAATACTTTACGGTTATTGCTTCTCATTTATCCCAATATAATTAAATCGCATTATTTGCTATCAGTTTCTTCATATATTAACATCATCTTATTTTTGTTTCAAATTGTAATTGTAAACAAACATTTCTGAATGCTTCCAGAAATGTTTGTTTACAATTTTCCTAATTACCCTATTTTATGGCATATGAGGTGCATAGGCATATAAGATCCACCACCATATCAGCACCAAATATTTAGGAAAAAGTATTTAGTGTAACACACTATAATATGGTTGCTGTCTATTGGTTCTTGTATATGAAACGTATCTTTAATCCAAAACTTGTTTGGTAGACTGCCTCACAGGGTTTCACAATGCTGTGAGGCAGTCTAGTGAACAAGTTTTGGATTAAAGATACGTTTCATATACAGGAATATTTAGTGTAAACCATCCTGTACCTTTGACACTCAACACCAAAATTTTTTACTTCATTCTGGTTAAAAAAGTAAAATTAGAATGCACGCTTTTATATATCAGTGAAAAAGAATATTTTAAAAGTTTATTTATCCATTTACCATGTTAAATTTACAAAATTTACCATATTAAAATTGTATGAATATACAGTCTTGAAATATCAAGACCTCACACAGCACATACATCATATTACAGAAGTTTGCCATACTAAACAAGTTAAGTAGTCAGGAAATTCTTAAACACAGATACATACTACTGTAATCAAGAAATCTAGCAGCCATTTGTGTAACTTTCCTGGCTGTTGAGATTTTATTTAAAAATAACTTTTATATTATTAATGTTAAATAACAGATGGTACCACACAATTTTATTTGAGATTTTATTATAACAACTTCCTGTATTTTTAAATAAAATGACAAAATGCTTAATTTTGAGGATATAGATGAGTTTTATAAAAAAAAACTATAAATGCTAATGAGTAAAATCTCAAGCCAGACCCACTTGAGATATATGTGACCACCCTCTTATCAGGGGTCGCTGTGGAAAATTTAAAAATATTGCCAACTACTCGCCAGTTTTAAATTTTTTTGCCACCTCAAATTGCCACCAGTTTTAACTTACTAATTAATACAGATGCTGTAGCCTTATTGATTTGGCATTTGGAAAGCAAAAGTAACGCTTTAAGCCATCACTTACCAGGAGAGGATTGGACGTTCGGGTCTCCGATTGCAACGAAAACTGCCAAGCGCATAGTCTTAAACGCAAACAATTCCTTGTCCAAATAATAGAACCCACTTCTCGAGCATTTCCCAAAAATGGGCCTCTGAAAATTCCGTATCTCTGAGCGGGGATAGCCGAGTGGATAACTCTTTTACATTGTTAAGTAAAATTTTTATTTCTTCATATTTATTTGAAGACATGGTGGTATTGTGATATTTGAAGTTTAACAAACATAAGTGCCCGAAGAAATTGTCCATAATATTAACAATTAAAAAAANTTAAGCCATCACTTACCAGGAGAGGATTGGACGTTCGGGTCTTTGATTGCAACGAAAACTGCCAAGTGCATAGTCTTAAACGCAAACAATTCCTTGTCCAAATAATAGAACCCACTTCTCGAGCGTTTCCCAAAAATGGGCCTCTGAAAATTCCATGTCTCTGAGCGGGGATAGCCGAGTGGATAACTCTTTTACATTGTTAAGTAAAATTTTTATTTCTTCATATTTATTTGAAGACATGGTGGTATTGTGATATTTGAAGTTTAACAAACATAAGTGCCCGAAGAAATTGTCCATAATATTAACAATTAAAAAAATAAAATGGTGAGACTACTCTACCCTTTTTCATACCACTTCCATGTGCAGTAAAGTCCCAAGCTTATTTGATTGTGAGGACATGGTATGTAAAATACAGTACGTGCAAATAAACGTGAAGAAATAAAAGTCGTATTTAAATCTACAGGGGCTTGTTTTCACTAGATAGAAAATGACATCACAATTTTCAATTCTTGTTTTATAAGCTTTAAGATCTATTGTCTTTATTATGCAGAGATTAACATTTAAATACAAAACCCATGCATCGAGTTAGGATAAATTAAGAAACATAGTTTTAATTTCTAACGAGGAGACGATAGCAAATATCACTGATTAAATAATAATAAATTTAAAACTAGCTTTTTAGCGATTTTATAACAAACTACTAATTAATAAACTATGGAAGTGTGTGAAATCGCGGAATTGGAATTAGCTTATATGTAATTTTTTTTTGTAAATTAAAAAAGGAACGAGTGCATGCCTCGTTACGGTCCTTCTGTATTCCTTTATTCCTTTTCTCTAGTTTCAAGTTATTTAGATAAGAGCAAAAATGAGACTTGCTGCCACTTTCAGTTTCCCCTCCATCAACTGGCCTCGATTGAAGTACCAATAACACGACTCTGCTCGGCGACACCGGAAGGGGACGAGACGGGTGCGCCGGGCGACAGCCGAGACCACGATCCCGTTTTACGTAGCCTGGACGTCGCCCTGCTGTGGCTCCTGCTGTAAAGCCTTCGCGGGAACCGACGTTCTTTTTCGGCTAATTCCTAATTATATTTTGGTGCATTAATAACGTATTTAACGATTGTAAATATTGAAAGACGATAGACGTCACGCTGGAAAATTTTTTTTTATAAAGGAATAAGCAGCTTTAAATCAAAAAAACAGAAGATATTTTGCTAAAGGAGGACGAAAAATAGTGCCATTCGGAGTCAAAACTGTACAGAGATTTGTTGAAAATGTCGAATTGTTTTAAAGTTTTTGTATTTCTAAAAGTTAATAAAAGTTGTTTATTGATAGTTCGGAGCTCTTCGAAAAACTGCGTATTCCTGTAAATTGGCAACCACTAAAAGAGGGTTTATAGAGGGAATAAACAAAATTTGTCATGCCCTCTAATCAAAAGTCAAGAACTACCCAGAAGAATTTTAATTTAATCTTTTATTTTTAAAGGACATAACAAATTTTGTTCGTCTACAAACTCCTTTCTAATGGTTACCAAAATAACCGATTATATCCGGAAAATATTGCTGATTATGTGTAATTATGCTAGTTACAACGTAATTAAAACACCCTGCATTTTTTACTATTAATATAAATATATTTTAGATCCGTTGATTATCGGAACGAATCTCTTGTAAATGGATGTAAATGACCAATATTTTCTAATTGAAGAGGGCGATAAGAAACGGCCGAATTGCATTTTAGGATTAAAAAAAAATTGGTCAAAAATATGTTTTATTTGTTGTAATTAGCATAATAATAAATGATTTTATAAGTCTCGATGATAAGCTGCATAAATTAATGATAAATAGTAATCATTACAAGAATGTAATGATTGGGCATACTGTGTAAAAATTGCCACCAAGCGGTTAATTTTCACCCCGGAGCCCCAATGGAATTTTTGGACGTTATAGAATTTCATTAATTGGAAATCCAATAATTTCCAATTAATTGATGGAGTCCATAAAGAGACAACGAAAATCTTTTTCTTGTACTTTTGTGGACGTTAAGAGGACCTTTTCCCGTTGTGGATTCGGCCACTGGTCAAGGACGGGGTCCGACGTACTTCACAAATAATTTTATTTAAAAATTACTTCGAGCTTTCTCTTAAGGCTGAAGAACACGGGTGTAACTTTACGGAAACCGCCATTTTGTCTACGAAATGTACAGTACGGGCGTCAGTCTCGACGCTTAGACTTTTAAGCCGAATGTACGGTACGTACGATGGTGACGTCAGAATGACTGGCGACGATTTTACAGGCGGTGGTGAGTCATTTTTAGAGGGGTCGAGCAGGACCGTGCGACGCGTTCTTTCACAGAGACAACTTTTAGATAGATTACAGGTGTGCTAAAAGAACAATTAAGCCTATACGTCACAATACCAGAATAAGCACTCGTCGCAGAATTCCCAACTCTGGAACAACGGCCAAAAAAATTAGAAAACTTCAAATGTGTTTTGAACAAACGAATACGGTAAGAAACGGAATTTCTTACCGTATTCGTTTGTTCAAAACACACGGATTTCGAGCGGCGCTGCTTTGGCCAGTCTATTCCATTGCAACCAATCAAAGCCTCGGACACGTGCGCCAATCACTTACGTCGTTTGTTTCGACTTTTTGGGAAGCGAGTTGTTGGTAAGTCTTAATGCTTATTATTGTTAAAATAATCATAGATATTATATAAATTTATCTTCGCGTACGCATTAAAAACTACGCGGTTTAAAGTATGCTATTGTTTTGAATTGATAAATTAAGAATTTAAAGTGATTTCAAAATTTGCTTAAATAGACCGCACGGACTTTTTCCAGCCGTGCCAATTTTCGGTTAAGAGTGCGTTTAAACTTAAAAATACGCACGTATTTATGCTCCATTACGAGCAGCGAATCACGTAATATATCCTTATATCAAAAATTAGAATTTGGAACAAAAGTGACGACACGGTGCCGGAATCGCCGCCATATTGAAAGATTAAGATCTACGATTCTCGTCCTTCAATAAGTTAAAAAATCTTAACTTTTTATTAAGAAATAAATAAATTTAGGAACGAAAACGAGCTCGACTTAGGACATTATTACTAGCTTCGTATCCCAGTTTCCGTCGCGCATTAACTACACGACTTCGAAAACACGTAACTTAATGCAGACGACGTATACACCAGCCGCAACACGTTTACGCCAAGTGGAAGAACACAATGGTGACATTCCTATTGTCAGAAACTTCCGAAATTAATATCCCGTCGCTCCGTAACCGCAACGTGCTACACCATGAAACTTAGTGCCTAAAATAGTTCCTTGTGTGGATCTAGCTGCCGCGCGTGTCGAAATGTATCAGGCCGCAAAACACATCTTTGCGGTATTGGACGAGTATGTGCATACTGTGTATTACGTAATGATTTTTAAATTTATTTCGTACGACGAAACGAATTACGACCAAATTTAATTTTATGTATTATATTGAAAGTATCGAATTGTAATGTAAGCAACAGAATAAGTTTATTGAAGAAACAAAGTGAAGAACACTTCGAGAAAAAGTTTCTCGAAGTGTTCGATAATTATAAGGTCAGTTACGAATAATTGACAGAAAACGATGTTTCCCAGGTTATTTATGAAAGCTAACAACTAGAATGTCCTCCTTTGTTTTGTTTACGATTACTTTGAAAACTCTCCATTGTCGACTCCTTCGATCTTCGAAGAAAATCCCGGAAATTTTCAATTGGTTCCAGGTACAAACGTCTTTTTCCGAAGGAAATTACACGCATTTCTAGCTTTTTTTTTAACTCTCCTCCCTACGGGCACTGGAGGGCCTCTTTTTAACAGGCCCATTATGGGTTCGGCCGGGCCCACAGTAGGGCGACCGGGTGGTGAGGGACGGAGCCCCACATATCCGAACGGACCACTCCCCGAAAAATTCCTGGGGATTTTTCTACCCGTTCGGATTCGAACCCGGGTCCCCCAGAGCGGTAGTCTGCCATCTTGACCGCTCGGCTTCCCAATACCATCGGCCGTCGTGCCAACGGTATTGGGAACCATCGGGTCCACGTATATTGCAGTTTTTCTCGTCTGATTACACTACATTCCTCTAGTGCCTGCTTTGTTCCGACTCTCTTTTGGAGTATTTCGGACGATTGGCAGCGCGTTTACTCTGTATTTGGGTTTTTCAGCGGTATTTCTGAGAGTCGTTCTCTTCGTAATTTCTCTTAAATTTGCGTTTCTTACCAGAAGCAAGTTTCTGCAGCCTCCGGGACTCTTCTTCACTCCATATTTTTCGCCTTTTTGCGCAAATCCATCTTATTTTTTAGCCATAAACTTATTGACTTCCGGCTTGGCTTAATTAATTAAAACACTTACTTTTGACTTTTGAAATAAAATATCCTGCTCTTTTCCAATTAGTTAGATGACTTGGTTTCATAGATAAGCAGTTAAACGTATTTAAAAATTACGTTAAATATATATATGAATTAAATTTTTGAGTCGTCTTATCATTTTCTTGTGAATAATTCTGCTAATTTATTTATATAAAACTACTAATTAATAAACTATGGAAGTGTGTGAAATCGCGGAATTGGAATTAGCTTTATATGTAATTTTTTTTTGTAAATTAAAAAAGGAACGAGTGCATGCCTCGTTACGGTCCTTCTGTATTCCTTTATTCCTTTTCTCTAGTTTCAAGTTATTTAGATAAGAGCAAAAATGAGACTTGCTGCCACTTTCAGTTTCCCCTCCATCAACTGGCCNACGTATTTAAAAATTACGTTAAATATATATATGAATTAAATTTTTGAGTCGTCTTATCATTTTCTTGTGAATAATTCTGCTAATTTATTTATATATAGTCTTAACTTTTTGTATACAAATGCGAATTTTAATGTAAATTTTACTTAATATGTTAAATATGAAAAAGTAATAATTATTCGGAATTAATAGAGAAAACACATAATAAGCGTGAGAAAATTTTGCACACAGCCAATCGGAATCAAATTTTTGTCTACTGTTGGTGAGTTATATTTTGCCAATCATACGAGTCCAACAAAACAGAAGTGCCGTCATTATTTCTACCTGGCTTCCAAGTACTTACGGCACATATTAATTTCAAAATTCATCATAATATCTATATATTTTGAGTAGTTACGTATCTAATAAATACTTTCCTGTCTACAGTTGTTTGAAAATGATTCCCACGGCAAACGATAATAACGGCGGCGCGTCCAGTACAGTTACAATGCGATTGTATTTATCCTTTATTCACCTAGTTTTACGTAAAACTGAACGGAAGTGCGCCAGTTATGACGTAAATAGAAACCTTTCGTACTACCTGTTTTGAGTGGGTATCTATTATAGTTGAATGTGACGGCATTAGTCTTTTTTTTGTTTTTAAACAGTTCGCGACATATTTTAGAAAACGTCACTTTATTTAAAGGACATTTTTGCCACATCATTGCGCCTACTGTACGTAGACGCAATAGTGTGACAAAAATGGTAATATTAATAGCAGCGAGCGAGATGTTTGTAGCGAAATGGCTGTGGCCAAGCGGTCGAGAAATGGAATCTCTGACTTGCGGGACAAAAATCTCGTTTTGGCAGATATCTGTCACCGATTTTTATCGCGGTTTGACGTTCCCGCTTTATACTACATTTTTAGATTAGCTCCTTGCTTCGTTTTTCGCGCGTGATCGATTCAAACGTGTCGTCTTCAGCGTATACGGGTGAGAAGACAACCATCCAAGTTTCCTGGCAGAGAAATTTTTATAACAAAATCTCAGATGGCGCCTCGAAATTTTATTTATTTATGATTAATAATATAAAAGTTATTATTTAAATTAAGTTTCTTAACAGTCGGGGGAAACTTACAAAAACAAAGGTAGCAACGAATTGCGTATTATAAGATTCTTGAATTCAGTTTTTGTTTGTTAAATTATGGCAACGCTAACACTTGGGCGATGCCTTCCGGAAGGTGTTTTTAAGGGAAACTGGCCCCTATTTAGGTGTTACAGACGTAGAGAAAACCCGGAAAACTCCATGTGGCCAGCACGTTCGAGCGAGGCGCGAACCCACGACCGAAATCCCAGTGTTCGGGGTACGAAGACCGCTTGGCCACTGGTGGGCGCTTCTTAAATTCAGTTTTACATCGTACGTTCTTAATAGATTCGGAATGGTCTTAATTTATGTATAGAAATCAGTTTTATATACTTATTGTATATACTTGGCTGGCTTCCCGTTGGAACAAGATCTATATAAATAGGTCTGGACACGATCCCGTGATTCTTTGCGGCTGCGGCCATTTTGGGGCTTATCTAGAGTATATCCTACACGAGGTTCCCGTGCCAATCGGTCATATTTAAGTGCTCAAAAAAGTGAAAGAATGAGTTATTGTGTGGCATCAAATTGTTAAATAATCTAACGTCCGAAGATTTATTTCCTGTAGATAAGCAAAGAAAAGCAAGATGGGATAAATGACGTCAAACCGAACATTCTAAACAGGGTTCAATTGTAGACGTAGACGTGAACGATGCTGTTGGGACCTCGACATAACCCAGAGCATGCCCACGGGAGCAAAAAAGTCAAAGGAACCATCCCCATACATACATACATACAATTCTAATTTTATTTCGTTTAATCACAAATAAAATATTATCAAATGCACGCATTAATGGTTGTTTGCCTTTTTTTTTTTTTTTTAACTCTCCGCCCTGTGGGCACTAAGAGGGACTCTTTTAGCAAGCCCATTATGGGTTCGGCCAGGCCTACTGAGTGGCGAGAGACGAGGCCCGACATATCCGGACGGTCCACTCCCGAAAAATTCCTGGGGATTATCGACCCGTTCGGATTCGAACCCAGGTCACCCAGGCGGCAGGCTGCCATCTTGACCGCCATACAAAACAAAACCAAAAACACTATAATACGTATGACCGGAAAAAATTTATTTTTAGTGATTCAGAATGTGCTAAATTGTTATTTTTAATGAATATTAACTAATATAAAACAACTACATTTATAATCATTACTAAGTGACCTGTATTTCATTAATTAATGATTTTATAGCTAACTAGGAACTATTTTCTGCGGACGAATGACCTAGATTTTTTGAAGCAATGAAAAATGCGTTTATAGGCGAGTAAATACGATAATTTTAAGGGGTGTAGGGCTCGCCTCACGAGCAGTACATGCGAAGCATCGGACAAGGCTCGCTATCGCTTTCCCGAACGAGGCGGAGCATGAATAGGCAGCAGTACTGGTTCGAGGTAAATACTGTTTTTATTCAGTAGAAGTTAATGCATTTATTTGTTACAGACATCGATGGCCATGCCCATAACTCGCCTGCAAGATGGCGACAGGAACTGCCGCCGTTAGGTTGCACGTTTGGGCGCGATGTCTGGCAAGGTTCGCCTGTCGAACTTTTCTTTATTCTTTGCTAAATATCGTTAGCTTGTCCGATCACCGTGCTGTGTGTTAATTAAACACGTGACAGACTTAACGGGGAGATACGCAGCGCTTTCAAGTAGGCTGTAGGTTTCGAGGAGCTATATCTCGCAGTGTCACATAGATGTATGGTTCCTTTGACTTTTTTTTGATATTGCAGTACTTTAGGAAATGCTTACGTAGATGATAAATCTAATGAAAGTACTAATTTTATTAGTTTCGATCGAAACAGCAAATGATAAGGATGCTTTGTTTTAAACCATTTTGATCGAGTTACATAAGATTACATTTGCGTAATCATCCGAAATTATTAGACTAGAATCTCACTGGTTTTAAGTAATTTCAGTTTAATGTCGTATAAAACTAATTGCTGGTAAAAGTTTGTTTAAAACCTTCACTATTCAAAAAGCCCCCAAATGACGTATCAGTAAGGTAACGTTCGTGGCCATACCAATTTATATAGACCTTGCCGCCGCGCTCCTAGTCAGCAAAATACACAGAAAATTCTGCTCTGCGCCAATCTTGTTATATTTTCTAAAATGACTATGAAAGTTATCTAAAGAATAGATATATCAATAATATAATTATCTCTATTCATATTTTCGGAAAGAGAGATGCTCAATTCTTTTTATCTATTTACTTAAATATCGTAGTTCTCTAACTAAAAGCACCACTTTCGGCTGTAACTGGATTTAAAGAATAGATAATGGCATTCGTGTTTAGCTCGAGCAAAAATCCTTTCTAAACTATAATGCAGCGACCTGTAACCACGTCATGTCATTTTCGCTACATGAAGAACGCGGCAATACGCTTAAAGTAGGAATCATGGCGGTACATAAGTCACGTGCTTTTGACGTCATTGCTCCCGTTTTCCGTATAGTAGTATTACGTAATTAAATATAGAGGCGACGTGAAAAAGCCGTACTAATCATATGACGATTAACATTAACGATGCACTGATCTATGAAATTAGCGTATTATATTTGAGATCACGACACAAACAAGCCAGTTTTTGCCCGATAAACAGTACATACGACCAATGCAACGAAACCACGTAGCATCTGCAGCCACAGTGACGATTCATTTCTACCTGTAAGCAGTCTATTTTGGAAGTCTTTTTCGCCCGTTTCCAACCAAATTAACGGAGTTCACTCCGCAGAAAGCGCCGAATGGGGGTAATTTTAATTCGAAGAATTACGTTATGGACACTAGGTGGGACGATGCGATTCTACTCGTAAGGGGTGGAGGGGGCCGGTGCGTGTGATTTGAAATTTAATGATAAACTTAGAAAAGTAAATAAATAAAATCCAGGTATTTATTGATTGCACCCAGTACAGTTCACAATTGTCGTCATCACATGACGACACACACAAGACGGGATAAAGTCGTCCAAAATAACAAAAAAATGTCACGGAATGCCGTTGGTAATTTTGTAGGGCGGAAGGACGAGAGGAGCTCGCGTCGCGGCCAGGGAATTTCGAACGGCATCGATTATACAAAATCACTAGTTTTACGAAAATTGAGGCATTCCTACGGTTTAAAAAGAATTTCTTGTAAGGGAAAACCGCATCGTCTCGACACAGTTTTGATCTGGCTCATTTTTTGTATAAATTCGAGGACCTAAAACAATGGCTACTTTTGTGCACTCGAACAGAAGGTTGTGGGTCTGTGTCCAAATGTAAGAGAGAAGCCGTTTTAAAATGCAACTATTTATTTACTGAATTTTTACGCTTAATAAATATAATAAATTTAGTTTTTCCGAGGTTTTTTTTTTCAAAAACAGATGCGGTACGTAAAACTAAAGGACCGAATAAATGTCTTTAATAAAAGTTTTTAAAGGTGGATCTTTCTGCGGGTAGAAAGATTTTATACAAAAATAACGGACGACGCAAGAGAAGAGGTTACACAGAGACTTAAAGCTGTTTATAAAAGAGATTAAATAAGAGGAGGGGAAATTTGAAAGAAAATACTTTTTTCTCTTCAATATAATTTGACACGTTTCTACATATCGAACGACAACGTAACGTAACAAATACACATTGACTATGTACAAAATTAAGCTAAGTGATCTGACATCCAATCGATATTATTAATGAATCTTTTTACATTTAGAATATAAAACAATTACAACAATGGTATTTAGTAGGATGATAATATCCGTATGAATCGAAAGAAATATGCACGGTACGACACCGAAACGTTGGTCCTTTAACTATAGAGTCGAATTCTATGGTACAATGGTGATAGGGACATCACAGACTTGACTTTTTCTTATTTGAAATTTGGAACTATGAATAATCGACAACGAAAGACAATGGTATATCGCAAGTGGCAGGTAGTCTAGAAACATCTCGATATTCAGCCATTATTTCTTAATTATGTACATTCGAAAACGTGAAAGTAGTCGACAAATGCCAATGAATAATGAATGAATAGAATCGAAAACGACGTTTTCGCCCGCCCGCTCCGGAGTGCGGCGTTCAAGTATTTTGGTAAATAAATAGATGTCACAATCGAATTTCAAAACAATTCTTGATTGTTACTAAGAAAGCTAGAAGAACGATTGACCCTGTATTTACACGGATTCGCCTTCCCTCCGCATCAGAAGTCTTCCGAGTACGTTTTTGTCGCGTCTTGGGACAGCACGTTGATCAGAGGCGGAACGCAGTTCCCGGGAATCAAACTTCCTGCCAAGAAAAAAAAGACCACTTTTAATAACCACGCCATCCAAAATAAATCCAAATAAACTCCCAGTTGAATTTTGTGTAGCAAACGCCCGCCCTCCTCCTGTCCATTTCGGATTTCGCTTCCGAGGAGAAAAAGATTTCTTTTCGATCGCGCTTCCTATTTAAACAATTAGGTTTGATATTTATTCGTTGCAGGGTAACCAAAATAAGGTTTACCTAATCCCCGATAATTTTGTCAGTTTTTGTCGGTTTATTGTTATCGATCCTGGAAATACTATTATGTAGATTGTTTTTTACGAGTTTGGGACATGCTAATTCCGATAATATCCGCGGAAATCGATTTAACGTTTGACTACAAAAAATGATAAATTTAAATACATTTCTGTAATAATACTAAGGTATTTCTGGTGTGTTAATAGTTTATTGTAATGCAAGACTTGCAAAACACGGCGTCCTTATTATCTATTTTTATGTCTGTCTTCTATTTTTTCCAACCACTTTTCTAGTTATACTATGTAACAAATACAAATTGCCTTTTCTGGTAGGAAACACACAGAAAAACTTTTTTGTCAGTTCCGTTTTTCCAGCATTTTTAAATAAACGGGCTTAGGCTTGCGTATAGTTTAGGAAAACGGCTCACTCAAGAAAATAATCTATTGTCATTAATTTTTTCGTTCCGTTTCATATATTTCTGTTTTCTCGCGACTCTATAATTATAAAAAGTGAAAAAGTATTTTATATTTTTATTACGATTTTCTGGGCTGCTGGTTGTCGTTGTTGCATCGATGAGCCGCGATAATGTATCTTAAAGCGAATAAAAAGAAATTTTTCTACTTGCCTACTATTCTCAAACCGTCCTGGGTTCGCAGTCGTACCACCTGCAATTTGGCATTGTGCGCGCTCGGAACCGATGCTAACACGCTTTCGACTTTGGTCCAGACCGACAAGACGGAGCCGCTGAGAACGTAGTACGTTCTTTGTCGTAGTCCGACTTCACAGGTTAGTCCCATCGACAGTCTCCGACACTGATTGTACCTAAAGGTTTAAAAACTTCGTATAAATGGAACAAATCTTATGTAATATTTCTATACTTTCCGAAGTAATTGTTCATTATTCCGTGTTAACAATATTATCACTATTCCATTTAATTTTTATTCAAAAACTACACGGAATAAATCCCTGAAAATTTTAAGATTTTTTAAAATTTTACACTTCGAAAAACGTTTCTTGGAGACATTTATACCGGTACTGAGTATACCAGGTGTGGCCAAACTTTTATCCCTTAGGGGATACTTTTTTGGTAAAATATAGTCTGCGGGCGACTATGAATATGGACAATTTTAGGATTTTTATATGGCGCATGCGTTAACATTCATTTGCATTGTTCATCGGGATTAATACAAACAGTATGGGTACGTTGCACAGACAGTCTATTATTGTAAGAATAAATTATCGAATTACGATTTTTAAACATTAATTTAAGTGAAAGCAAATTGTTCAACTTTAGCTTCACGGGCTACTTTCAAAACCTTTGCGGTCGATCGGGGTCTACGTGTTGGCCATCCCTGGTGTATACAATTTCAATATTATGCATTTTATTTTCTTAACAGATCCATAAATAAAATGTAATCTGCCTATATTTACAAAAATGGAAAAATTACTTGGCGATTCACTTTCAGATATAAATTGATATTTTTCAATATTGTGTCTAACGTAACGTTATTTTTTAAACATAGATCAATATTACTAAAGTGAAATCGTTTCTGAAAAACCAATTACCCAAAATCAATGTGACAGAGAAATTCCAGAAGTTATGAACTTTATATGTAATAACGACTATTAATGATTTCCTATAGGCCCATTATTGAGCTAACTTGTTACTAATTTTACTATTACATATTTTTTTTATTTTGAATGCAATCTACAATACAAAACTTTGAAATCAAAGACCAGTGCTTGTTTTTATAAATTAGACAATTTTTCATTATTTTTAATCATTTGTATGCCTTGTTAAATTTCTATATCTTAACTTACTTTTTTCTTTTATAAATACTATTGTACTAGAATTAAATTCCTTAAAGTAAAAATAATTTTATCTTTTTATTCTTTTCCTACCAAGTGTGATTGGTTATCTGAAAGCATTCTGTCCCAATTATTTTGGCTAATTGATACTACAGTAGTGCCTCGAAAACGCGGCACTCCGGATAACTTGGCCACACCCTGGCAGGGCAAAAAAATCCTTAGTTAATTAATTTTCATTATAGACAGCTTTATGCCTCAAAGTATTTTTCTGAGGTCTGTCTTATCAGGTAAATTACTGTACACAGTGTATTCATTAATTTTCATTTTCATGTAGTAAAGGCTCTATGCCACGGGTTCCCAACCTATGGGTCGTAATGGGTTTTCTGTGGGGTCGCCAACTTATGCAGTAAACTAAAGAAAATTTTCACTATAATGCAATATTTATTTTTAATGGTGCCTTGAAGTTTGAATAATTTCATATATTTTTTAAAACTTAAAATAAGTGTAATCTGGGTAGCTATTCTGTTGCAGTTGGTTGAAACATGTGTTGAGAATTTTGAGAGGAATAAATTAAATGTTGAGAATGATATGAGGTTGGCGTTAACAAAATCTCACCCACGAATTTTAAGGCTGGTTAATAACATGCAATTTCAACCATCGCATTAAATTAATTATTAAACATAATTTAAAATATAATTATACTGAAAAACTAATTTCGTTGTTTTTTTGATTACCTTATTAAAAATGCTTTTTTCAATTGTATCGGGTTGTGGGTCACTTGGCTTTTACAAAAAGGGGTCGCCACCCGAAAAAGATTGGGAACCGTTGCTCTATGCCTTCATAAAGGACATACTTTTCCTTTGTTTAAGGGTATTTGGGCAGTTAATTCTCTGTTGTATTCTCAAGCAAACAATACATACGCATACTTATCCTTTTTTAACTCCATTCCCGATAACCCGGCATTTTCACAAACTCGGCCACCCTTCAGTCCACATTAGGCCGAGTTTTTGAGGCTCTACTGTACCATAATATCATTAAAAATATATGCTTACTAGAAAAGTTCTGTGCAACATAAATATCTTTTGACTGTATAGTTAATAAATTTTAATTAAGAATAATCCTTTATACTTTACAATAAATTATATAAGCCATAAAGTAATATAATCACAATTTAAATTATTACATACCAAAATACATGACTACAAACTGTTGATGAAGCATCATATTGGTCATTCCAGTATTTTTGAGCTGTGTCTGGAGTTGCCTAAAATACAAATTTGTTCAAGTTATTTGCAGCTCTTTAAACTTAATAATACACATATTCTTATGCTATATGCAATGTTATATTAAAAGTATAACTGGCAATTGGAATTAGAAAGCAGGTTTTGCTGAACATTTATTATGACCAAAAATTATTAATAACTTAAAAGATCATGTTTTATAATTTTAATTTTTTAAATAAATAATTTATCAAGGTATGATACTAAAATCTAAAGTATTTGGTGATTAAAACACTTACTTTTCGATACTTTGATTTTAAGTCTGCGAGTGTTTCTTGTTTTGCTTGTAAACCAGTGTTAGGCCTGTATATTCTATATAACTTGTCTCTCTCACGTTTGTCTTTGACTCGTCTGGCAGAATCTTCAACTGCTAAAACTGCCGTCTTCTTGTTATTACGAGTCTAGAAAAATTATACATATTAAAATATTTAATAAGCAAAAAGAAGCATTTTTGTTTCAATTCTCAGTTCTTTATCAACAAGCAGATTTATATTTAATTTTTATTAAATGCTTTTTTCTTTGATTACATTCATTACAAATAACAAATTAAGTGAGTAAAACGGAATTAATGCACAAAATAAATCATACAGAAAACATTATTATTTTTACATACATATAATATTTAATGTATATATAAATAAGTATACTAAACTTCAAAACATTTTACTTTAATTTTATCATGAGGAAAATGCCAATAACGAATTTTTAAAACTCAATTTAACATATATAAACTTAATTTCTCACAGAAATATCAATTTCATTTTCTGAATCTACTTTATTAGATTCTAGGTTCATTTGTTTAAAAAAAGTTATAAAAATTTCACATAATTATATCAGCTTGAGAATTTTCATAAATTGACAAGAATATAACTTTTTAATAAAAAGTAAAATACATCTGGATTTTCTACAAAGAATATAACTACTAAAGACCACAAAGATAGTGGTTACAACATCCTGTCAAAAGTAAATTAGATATAACACACTAAACAAAATTCTCGCACAAAAATTGCACCAACAACACAGTAATGAGGCAGTGNCAATTATTAACAATTTACATTTTGGGGGATGAAAAACAATTTTCTGGGTGATATAGTAAAATATTATATTAAGAATAATTAGATATTTTATTTGTTATAGTGTACAATAATTAAACAAATAACATTATACTTGTGACTAGTCTATTTAATGCAATACAGATTTGGCATTAGTCTCGGTCCTCAGCATTGGAATTTTGAAGCTTGCAGCGGGGATTCACAGCAAATAATAGTTAATTTTAATTTTGTTAATTATATCAAAATCTAATATGTATTCTGAGTAAATAAATGTTTATTTGATAATTACTGGTAGCCCTCGGTTTATGCTGCAGTTCTGTTCCTACAAAAATCAGTGCAAATCAAATTGGCATAAAATGAACCCATATTTACAGTGAGGTATAGGGTTAGGTTCTACATAAGTGAAAAATAAGCAAATAATTTTGTTAATTAATACAAAATACACATATTATAAATTTAATTTTTTTAAATGTATTTTATGATAAAATAAAATGTTTTTATTAAAAAATCTTAAGAAAAACAAATTATAGTTCAAAGTTTCAAATCTCTTACATTTTTTGGTAAAGTATGCAATTGTAATTGTTTAGATTTTTGTTTTCTTTCATTAATAATTTTGGAATATGGTCGAATGGATGTGCTAATGCTCCTTTTTACATTTGCACTTCTCTCCCAATCATTGTCTAACTCACAAAGTTCATCTGTCAAACTTTCCATAACTGAAAGGATACACTAACCCGAAATAGAGCTACAGACAAACGGAGACGGTGATTGGTCGACCACTGGCCGCTGTAGAGCATATATATAAGGTCAGTTTGGGCAGAAAAATTGAAGTTGGTTTAGTCTCACTAAAGAGAGTTAAATATTGTCTGACTGACAAGAAGTAGATATCATCTGGCCAATGAGAAGTAGATTTCGTCTCACTAACAATAATTTGTGATTGCCAGAAGTGCTACTGCGTTGTAAGGTGTTTTCCTGAACGAACTGATATGGGATACGAACTATTCGCATTCATTAGCGCCCTGGATTCGGATGACATTTATTATACTATTAAGTTTAATAACTTTACTCATGGGAACCTAAACGTTTAGTATTTTAATATTAATTTAATGCAAAATGTATACATACCCAATAATATTAAACAGAAAAAATAAATATAGTCAATAATAATCTTTGTTTTAAAGAATGTACAATGTCATGGCTCAGTAAATACGTCAACACTGAAATGAAAATCAGTCTGGCATACGGAAAATTGGGGAATTACACCGGAAAACGGCAAATTGTGCAGCAGTGTTATTGTGAATTGGCGTAAACCAAGGGCTGCCTGTATATACATTGTAAAAATTAAACTAATAAACCCAACAACATTGTTTTCAAAGTGAAGGGGCAATACCACGTAATGGTTTTATTGAAGGGGGGCGACGATTCGTTGAGAAACACTGTTCTAGACACTGGAGCTACATGATATGGATTTGATCCTTTGTGACTTTACCATATCATTACCACTATCATTCCTCACATTTAAAGCTTATATAATGAGATTAAAATTGTGATATCTGTCTAGCGAAAAAGAAGTTTCTGTAGATTTAACTCTTGTATGTTGTTAATAAATAAAATTTTTATTTCTTTATATTTTTCAGATAATTATAAATTAAACATATAATATAATTTCAGATAAAAATTATAAACAAAGTGTACATTACAGTAAAAATTAAAAAAAAAAAAAAAACAAAGTAAAAAAAAGGTAACAAACCTTTATCTAATCCTTGAAAGCCCGTTCTTTCATCTTCAGTTATCAATCCTACTCCAACTAAACAATTACGGATATCTGAAAATAAAGATATTTTAATGAAAATAACATAATATTTTAAAACCATTTCACCAATATATTTATAATGATAAATTTTTCTATTTTAGATAATTAAAATTTCCTGAAAATTGAAGCCAATGTTAATAATTTTGATAAAAATTATGGTTTATCTTAACTTGACACTTATTGTAAACAAACACCTTGTAATTATTGATTGATCCCTGAGAATGGATAAGTTAAAATCATTCCATTAATCACATGTCAAACAATTTCAGATATATAGGTATCCCTTGTATAACATGGTAGATACATTCTGGAAAAGTCCATATTATACAAAACGAAGGACTAATGCTAAACGTAGGGTTACATTCCAGAAGTTAGTAACAAAAAAGAATAGTATACTTTTGCTAAGAGAAATATGTTATTAAATCAATCAATAATTAATTAACAATCACAATTAAAAGTACAGGTAACTCCCATATAACACGACACTTCTATAGCACGAATTCACTCTAACACGGTTCGAGAATTGGTACCATCCCCGTATAACACGATACTGTTATAGCATGGATTCACTCTGATACGATTTGAGAAATGGGTAAAACCTCGTACAACATGAAATGTAATAAATTTTTACATACTTAAGTACTAATAGTTCACGAAAATAATAACTTTCGTAAACTATTAGTACTTCAGTGTGTAAATTTTCTTTTCTCGTTTCTATACACATGGTCCTTCGCGAAACTTGTTTCAATTTTGCCAGATCTCGATGCTTCTGCTTCTGGTGTTGCCAGATGTTTTTCTCTTATTCCATAAGTGCTTAGCACCATATAAGGAAATTTATAAAGATCTTTTAACTAGAAGCAAGCAGTCTAAAATTACACACTTTTTGCAAAAGGTAAAGAATGAATCTGAAGATAATGCAGAAAAATGCTCAGAGGATAACGATAACTTGCCAAAAAGAAAACGCTCTCGATTAATAGTGCTTTTAGTGATGGCGAAGAAAACATTGTTTAATTTATATTAATATGTATCACTTAAGAAAATTTTAATAAAGATATTTATCTTAATTATGAAAATATAATAGCATGTTTTTTAATTTTTGGAACCTAACCCTCTTTTTTTGTACTAGTTTTTGTTTTGCATAACACAGATTCGCATAACACGGCAATTTTTTGAAACGTAACTACAGTGTTATACGGGGTTTACTTGTACTGTATTATGTGTTAATATTAATTTTAGTTAAATGAGGGTGTTTTCTTTTTACAAAAGTATTGTCATCATCTCAGCTTTTTTGTTGATCTTAATCAGAAATATCAGAAACATTTTTTTATGGGTGACAAAATAAAAGTATGTTATTAATTGAAAATTTGTTCTAGCCAATCATATTTGTTCAGTCGAGTACTGAGATACTACTGTATTTCATTTGTCATTTTTATATAATGAAGTAATCATTTGTAAGTAAGTAATATCTATGAATAAAAAAGAGTTTAATAACACTTACCTAATAATGTTTAAATAAACTTTACTAAATATTCAGATTAATCTATAAAAAGAAAACACACTGGCAGTCTTAACGACTAAAGTCTGAAAGCAATGACAACAACGCCTGATTGATAAGACAGGACAAGAAAGGAAGAAATAGCTCTCAGTTTTCATTAAAGTAAACCAGATGAAAGGCACAAAATAATTTGATAATTTCAATATTCTAAAATCTATGGGCAAATTTGACACAACATGCATGCTTACTTGAATAAAAAAAAAAAAGAAAAACTGAATAACAAAGTTTACACTTAAAAATTGTGAAATTTTGTATGGAGAAATTCCAAAACAGTGTTAGCACAAAACCAGAAGTTGTGTTGTGCAGGGGATATCCCCTAATTTTCAAACACTGTTGTAGAAGGAATACCTGTATTTTATTTTCTAATAAAATTTTAGTTGTTGTTATTATTATTATTGAACTTCATATTTACATAAAAATCATTATGAACTTATTGTTATAATCTATTAGGAATAAACTAATAAAAAATCGCATATTTATTTAAAAATAAATAAAACAGACAAATATTTTCAATACTGCTTATGATGCCAGTAGATATAAACTGTAGTATGTTATCTATCATTCATTGAAAAATATGTCCTTTATATCTTCAAATATTACTGTATTTTAAGCATATAAGACACATCTCCATTTCAGCAGTGAATATTTAGGAAAAAATATTTAGTGTATTTAAGTCATTCTGCATAATAAAATAATTGTGGCAAGATATGATATAAATAGATACAGCAGAACACCATTAAGAAATTTTTGAAGGAATAAAAAAAAAATTCTTAAGGTGGAAAACTTATTATGTAGAAATTATAAAAAAAATAATTTTTTATCTGTATAATCAATTTAATTTCAATATCGAGGTAATATAACACAGCATAGTGTAACATATGTAACATAGTAGAACAGTATCAATATGACAAGTCAATAATTAATGGACAGCACTGGATAGGGAGTATGGTCAAAACAATAAGATCTCAGCTAATTTAGTAATCACCTCAGGTGTGCAAGTGTTTGATATACAATATGGTAAACATTTGGTGTTACTTTATGACTTATAATAATAGTAAAGTTTTAGTAAAGTTATGGTGAGGAAAAAGATTACAATTTGTCTCCAACATAAATTTAATTGAGTAAAATAGCATTGATTGGACTGATATTTCAGAATTTCTTACATGGGAACTTCTTAAATGTGTTCTACTATAGTAACATGTATAAATGTTAAGGTTACTGCTTAAGTTTGAAGAACTGGATGTATATTGTTGTTGTAGTAATCTGGTAGGTAATATACTATATCAAACACTGACTAAAAATATAACCTACTAACATCTTTTCTTCTATATAATAAATTCTCTTAACCTTCTGTTCTAGAAAAACAAAAAAATGTATTACAGAATTGACTATTTATACTTTTCCTCTTCCCATACAAAGTGCGATTTAATTACACACACATATATGAGGCGTGTTCAAATGAAAGTAATTCAAAGCATTGCATGCAAACAGTTTTCAATGCATTTTCGTGAAACAAACATGATAGTGAAGGTTTATGTACCACGCATGCGCGTGCACGACCAGATTTGTGATAACTTCATTCGTAAGGACCGTGGCATTCATTTCAAAATGGCTGGTGTGGATGCAACTGTGTCCAAAACAGATCAGTGAGCTTAATTAACTTTAACACCCTTCCAGTGTTAAAGTGTAAGCCGGTGGATATTCATTGCAGAATGTTGGCTGTGTACGGTGACACGTGTGTGCTGAAGCCCACGGTGACGAGGTGGGTGAGAATGTTTAGCGACGGTCGACACGAGACAAGGGATTTGCCGCGGCCCAGTCAGGCGCACAAAGTTGCGACAGAGAAGCTGATTATGGACATTGACACTGCAATCAAGGGAAATCGATGTCAAAACATTCGTGATGTCGCAAATGAGTTAAATGTTTCCATCGATACTGTTCACAATATTGTTACCAACATTCTGAAGTATCGAAAAGTTTGTTGCCAATGGGTACCCTGCATGTTGTCTGAACACCAAAGAAATAGCAAATGGGCCTAAGTTTACAGCATTTGTTGTGCTACAGGGATGATGGTGACGACTTTCTGCAGCACATAGTGGCAGGAGATGAAACCTGGTGTCACTACTTCCAACCGGAAGGGAAGTCCATCAGCATGCAATGGAAACATCCCGGCTCACCTAAGCCCAAAAAATTCAAAACTCAGCAGTCAGCCGGAAAGGTGATGTTGACAGCATTTTTTGATATGCAGGGACCCCTATTACTGGAGTTTAAGGAGCTGAACGTCTCCATCAATGCCCAATGGTACACCCAAACACTTGATAAGCTGCATAAGGCTATCAAAAAACAAACGTCCTTGTATGCTGTCATCAGGTGTCATCATTCTGCACGATAATGCAAGGCCACATGTCGCCAAGGTGTGTGTCGAGGCACTGGCCTGTAAAAAGTAGGAAGTCCTGGAACATCCAGCTTACAGTCCATATCTGTCACCTTGCGACTATCACATCTTTGGACTGCTGAAGAAAAGTCTAATGGGTCAATGATTTCACTCCAACGATGACGTAAAGGCTGCAGTTCTGAACTGGTTCCATGATCAACAGACATCATTCTTTGTGGACGGAATTTGTAACCTTCCTAAGCAATGGGAGGCCTGCCTAAATGCCATGGGTGATTTCTTTTAACAAACTTTGTATGCATTTCATTCATTAAATATTGTTTTTTCTATCTATGTATCTGTCTCATTTCTGTCCCTACGCATCTCGTGAATACACATCTCGAATCACTTTCATTTGAACATCCCTTATATATAAACCAGATATCTGAAATTGTCTTGCTGCAATTATTTTGGATAATCAACACTACTGTAATAATAATTATGATTTTAAAAAGTTATTTTTTTTAAAGAATTTTTGAAAACTGGCTTTAGGGAGAATGATTCCTTGGATGCTCAAAGTCTAAAGACAATGGATTTGTAATCCAGATTTATCTTCCATTCAAATATTTGCATCTGTTTAATGTCTAAAATTATTATAGATTTAATTAAATTACTAAAAATAATTAAGTTACAAACCTGCAAAGAAATCTCCTTCATAATCTGTTGGAGGTGGAACTAATGGGACTTCAGAATCCATTACAGATCTCAGAACAGTTTCAAGAGCAGTTCTTCCATACTATTAAAAATATTTTTTTTTCAGAATATTACAATAAACCATAAAGATATATAAATATAATCTTTATTTGTCTTGTAACTTAGAAGAATAAGGATCTGTAACATTGGTCCTTATTCTTCCAAGATACAGATATATCAAGAAATACTTATTTCATTATTCTAGATTTTTCTTTACTTACCTTATTATCAATATTAAATCGACTTAAATCTCTACTTTCTGTTGCTCTTCTATCACCATGAGTTAATGCACCCTAAATAAGACACAATTATTATAATATAATTGAATTATATCTTTCACTTAAAAATGACTTGGAAATTTTTTTGTTCTATTTATATTATATCACAATAATCAAATATAAAAATTATTAACATTTAGTAAACTGTGGTATTACCACACAATTAGTATTATGAAGATGTATCTATATATTTCTGATATAGAACTGATAATACAGTAAGACCCCACTTAACGCTGATTCAATATAATGCGGTCTGCTCGTAGCCTAAAAAGAGCTCAAAATTTATGCCGATTCAAATTATCGTGGCATTTCATTAATTTGTATATAATACGATTATTTACGGACACGAACCAATCAGCAAAAGTTGGAAATTCGTTGTTGTGCTGTACTTCTGTTAAATCTACATTTGTTTTGTGCAATTTTGGAAAAAATATAACATCATGGATGCTATAGGAAATATCAACTTCACTTGGTAAGAATTAACTGATAAATGCATGAACAGAGTGTAGAAGAAGGTATGGCCAGAGGTATCCAGGAATTCTCAACCAGAACAGTCTCTAGTCGACCAAATTGTCAACAAAATCAATACGGCAGGACAAGGAGATATAGACGAGTGGGATATTGAAGAGTTACTGCAGGTTTCTGGCGACAGTCTTACCAATGATGACCTTCAAGAATTGACAGAACAAGGAATTCATATAGAACTGAAAAATAGTGACACTGAAAACGAAGAACCCAAAGAATTTCTCTACAGATTTCCTTAGTAAATGTTTGGTAACGATAACCAAAATCGGTCAAATTGTAGCAAATGATCCAGAGTTTTGAAAAGAGGCAAAAGCAAGACAAGGCGTTTTGGATGTGATCTTCTGCTACTGACATTTGCTTAAGGAAAGAAAGAAAGCGACAAATGAAACTACATGACTTTATTGCAAAAAACAAGAATTTCAGAAAAGTTAGGACCTTCATCACAAAAAATGAACACCAACCATATTTGCTAGATCAAGCACACTTAGATTATTACTTGTTCTGGTCTATACAAATTTTTTTAACTGTAAAACATTTACTTGAAATGACAATGTCAAAAATCACTTGGATCAGTGTTTTGTAAGCAATGATCAAAACTTTTATGAATGTGAAATCATGCTACTACCAGAAACGATGACAACAGGTATTTGACCAAAATGGTCAATATATAATTCAATAAAATACGTCTCCATCAATGCCCAATGGTACACCCAAACACTTGATAAGCTGCATAAGGCTATCAAAAACAAACGTNGTCATTTTTATATAATGAAGTAATCATTTGTAAGTAAGTAATATCTATGAATAAAAAAGAGTTTAATAACACTTACCTAATAATGTTTAAATAAACTTTACTAAATATTCAGATTAATCTATAAAAAGAAAACACACTGGCAGTCTTAACGACTAAAGTCTGAAAGCAATGACAACAACGCCTGATTGATAAGACAGGACAAGAAAGGAAGAAATAGCTCTCAGTTTTCATTAAAGTAAACCAGATGAAAGGCACAAAATAATTTGATAATTTCAATATTCTAAAATCTATGGGCAAATTTGACACAACATGCATGCTTACTTGAATAAAAAAAAAAAAGAAAAACTGAATAACAAAGTTTACACTTAAAAATTGTGAAATTTTGTATGGAGAAATTCCAAAACAGTGTTAGCACAAAACCAGAAGTTGTGTTGTGCAGGGGATATCCCCTAATTTTCAAACACTGTTGTAGAAGGAATACCTGTATTTTATTTTCTAATAAAATTTTAGTTGTTGTTATTATTATTATTGAACTTCATATTTACATAAAAATCATTATGAACTTATTGTTATAATCTATTAGGAATAAACTAATAAAAAATCGCATATTTATTTAAAAATAAATAAAACAGACAAATATTTTCAATACTGCTTATGATGCCAGTAGATATAAACTGTAGTATGTTATCTATCATTCATTGAAAAATATGTCCTTTATATCTTCAAATATTACTGTATTTTAAGCATATAAGACACATCTCCATTTCAGCAGTGAATATTTAGGAAAAAATATTTAGTGTATTTAAAGCCAACTTGCCCATTTGGCACTCAGTAGCGATTTCCCTTTACCATCTTCTACTTAAAAGAATAAATGTAAATTTCAGTTACTAAGATCATTGTTTTTATTAACCTCTCCAAATCCAACCTTACCAATCCTCCATTCCCTCAAAGACCAAGCCATGCCATACATAAACAGCTAGTTACCTTCTTTGCATTTCCTAAACTACAAGTTCATTCCCATTAACTTGTCAATAGTGTTTAACAGACCTAATATTATACCTCTGCCACACTTGAACCATTGCACTTTTCTGAAATCTCTCTTCAGCAGCATGCATCATATACAGGGTAAGAGCTTTAATTGATACCCAAATAATTTACTCAAATTAAGTTGAACAAACTGAAACCCTCTTTCAATTAATATATAACTACAATTTTCTTTGAAAACTATTTGCAGCAAATTTCATTTTTCCTGCAACCATGAGAGGATGATCTCAAAGTGAATTAAATGATACATTTTTGTGTTTAACTCATCTTTTTAAATTTGGATTACTGAATGAGTAAAATTATCATAGAAAATTTGCATGAAAACTAAATATTTTTAAGTTTATATTTTGAAAATTCACATAGCAATATAAACACAGTTTTTAAAAATCCATAAAAGAGAAATTAAAAACTATAAATCAAAAACTGTTTCTTTCAAGTTATTTATACAAACTAACTAAAAATATAATTAATAAAACCTTTAATCAAATACAGTCAACCCCCTCTAACACCATTGATTATTCCATTTTATATGAATTCCATGTTGTACGAGTCATTTAGATTTTACAAATACGTGAGCCGTTCAAAGCCCGGCACACGTATTTGTAAAATCTAAGTGACTCGTACAACATGGAATTCATATAAAACGGAATAATCAACAGTGTTATAGGGGGATCGACTGTATTTATTTNTTCCATGTTGTACGAGTCATTTAGATTTTACAAATACGTGAGCCGTTCAAAGCCCGGCACACGTATTTGTAAAATCTAAGTGACTCGTACAACATGGAATTCATATAAAACGGAATAATCAACAGTGTTATAGGGGGATCGACTGTACTAATTTCTGTAAACAATACTTCTGCATAAAACAATTTGTTCAAGAAAGATATGAAGACAAATTATTTAATTCATTATGTATTAAGTAAGTTACTTACCAAACTTTCAAGTCTTTTGGCAACAATTGATGCAAACCTCCTTTCACCCGCAAGATCAGAAATAAGGAATATATATTCTGGTGCATTTACTTGATTAGATCGATGAGTTCGTCCTAAACAAAATTTTTTAGACATGAATTATTTGAAAATGTATTTTATTTGCAATATAAATAAATTTAGCAACATATTTCGATAAATGAAACTATATAGTAAAAGCATTATAATTATATATTGGAATTAATTAAACAATCTAGTCAATTCAAAAATCATTAACATTTGTTAAGCATAATAAAAATTTAACAATTCCAGTGTCAAATTATTGATGCTTTTCTGAAAAATATCAATTAGTGATGTATCAAACAACATGAAAAAAACATATATTCTGGAGAATTCAAATATTTTATGAACTGAGAATCCAACAAATTAACACAAGAGATGCTAGAGATCATTGATTAAAATGTGAGATCCCATGCTTTAGCTTTTAGAATTTAATATATGGAAGATGGATAAGATACTTATTGTGCCTGTTGTCCTCTCTTTTACTGGTATTATGCCATGTACACTACAGAAATCTTAATAAAAGCATATAGATGGCACTACAGAAAGCTGCAATACTGAACACATCACATTGTTAGGAAGTTTCTAGATGTTCACATGGATGCTTAATGTTATATTTGTTTGGGTAGCTAAGCCTTGACTTTAGACAAGCATAGCACTTGGCTCTTGCAACATAAATAACAATAAACAAAAGCAAATGCTAAAAGAAACTTGAAAAAATTAAGTTGACATTCATTGAAAGTGGTTTGAAAATTGATTGTTTAGCTTCTAAACTGGACTATGACTGTTCCTCATGTACAAAAAGGACATAGGATGAAGGAAAATGAAAAAGTCTTGTGTTTTCTTCTGTTAACCTATCATGAAAATTTTTTTTAAAGAAGTTTGTTGTAAAATTTTAAATGTAATTATTGTCCTGGTTATTTACTAGATTTATTTATGTTAACAAAAATAAAGTTGCTTGAGAAACTGTAATAAAAACCACATTTTTTTATATTATCTGTGTCTTTCCATTTCAGATTGGTACAAAAGGGCTAGTAATCAAAAAAATAATCCAGAAAATAACTTTCTATTTTCATGAATGGGTTAGCAATTACCATAGAAAAGCCAGGGTGACCTCTGAAATCAGTGTCTAGAAGTGTTGAGAACCAACACTTGTAGAATTTTGATTTTTTTCTTCCAAGAGAGAAAGTAGTTATTAAATCTGTTTTTTTGATAATCACGTTAAACAATAAATAATCACTTCTTACCAAATTGCTGAACAGCTCTATCTGCACTCCAAGGTAATTCTAAAGTGATATGAACCCTCCTTGCTTGATTTTTTGCTCTCCTATCAGATTGAAGTGAAATTCCCGAACTTGCTGCCTCCGAAATTATAGCAATATGCTATATAAAATGAAAGAATTTACTATTAATAATTCTATGTTAAAGTTTTCTGTGATATTTACTATATTTTTTAAAATTCTGTTCTAATTAATATTCATATTATTTTTTATAATTCGATTTGCATTTTTTATATAATTGTTGAAGCATTTTGGTTTAAATCTTATTGTATATTTAAATATACATAAAACAAAGATTATTATTACTATTGTTTTTTCTTTACATAAATCTTAAATAATCACAATTCTTATATTAATAATAGCTGAAATGTAAGGTAAAATTTTAAAAGTATTTACCTTTTCACCATCCATAAATCTTTGCTTTTCTGTAAGATTGAGTACTTCAAGTGGAACATCAGTTTCTGATCTGGATTCATACTGAATATTACCATCATCTGTACTAACTACTCTTCCTTTACGACCAGTCATCTGTAAATAGTAACTACTTTTAATAATGTGTATAAAATACTTGCCTTGTTGATCTCATGAACATAAGCAAGATTTATATTAAAAATTTGTATCTATATATATATATATATAAATGGACATGTATGTCCCTATATTTCACTTTTTCGCAAAAACTACACATTGCACGTGAATGGTGTTTGTATGTGGTAGTAGCCCCAAGTCTCTATTCGTGCATAGGGGTGGTTGCATCTCGATAGTTATAAGGGTGCGGGAGATATGGGCTTGAAAGTGGCTTTCTATTTCGAATGTTTTGTTCGAATTTGTTTGAATTAAATTCAAACATAAAATTCGAATATTGGTTCGATTATAAAACGATCGTAAACATTCCAGAAACGTTGAAAATAGTTTGTTTGACTTGACGTAAACAGGAAGCGTTCAGAAATAGAATCGGGACCAGGTTTCTAATTAGCCTGGAAACGGGGGACCTAATTCTTGCATTCTGTGAAAACGGGTAAGATTGGCTATAATGTAATTATCTTAATCTTTACTATCGTTCCTTTTTAAAAACCCAGCGAAGCGGGTCCTTGCAGCTAGTTAATAATAAAATAAATATTTTTAACTTTGAGAGTATTTCAATTGTGAAAGAGCAAATTCAAATTGCATAATAAATTACTGTGTAAAAGGTTATCATCATTCACATAGTATTCTGACAAAAAAATTTTTTTACTTTTTTTAAAAATTCCTAATAGGAGAAAATTACACCATTAGAGTTTCCTTTATTATTATTATTATTTATTCTTCTGAAATAGAATACAGATACAATGATGCAATAACTATTTTATTTACAGCTATTACAATCTATCTTCTATGTTGCAACTAGACACCCTTCTTAACAAATTGTATAGTTTTTAAATTCCTAATTGGGAAAAGCTGCATTATTAGAATTTCCTTTATGTATTCTTCTGAAATAAATTCATTGCATAAGTTCTTTCTTCTATTTCAGAAGAAGTTTTATCTTCTAACCAATGTAACTGTGTCTTCTGTGGTTTGTGTAAAAGGATTTAATGATAGACTCGAAAATATTAATATATTTTTGTAAATAGTCTAACTTCAAGAATTAAAAAAAAAAAAAACTTTTATTGCTTTTTATCATCAGAAAGTAACAATATAATAATACACAAAAGTATTTAACAGAAAGTGTTATAATAAAGAGCTGTTGTACCTTATTAACATTTTTCCAATCTAATAGAGTATATATATATAAAAAAAAAAGCTAAAATGAAAGGGTGCTAAATATCTGAATTAAAAATGTTAAAATATCTTATGTAATTGTTAAAATTTTGTCTTTTAAATCTCATTTTTTATTTAATTTTTATTCATTTTAACTTATTTTTTCATAATTTATTGAAAAATGTAACTTGTTAACTTAATTATATTAGAGTGATAAAATTTAATATTCTTAACTACAACTAATTTAAAATTTAAATTTTACCTCAGCAACATTTTCTGGACCACCAAGCTCATCAATGAGTTGATCTAATGTATTTGGAGGTAAAGTTTCTCCTAAACGTTCTAATTTTTGAAGAAGTTCATCTTTCATAGCTGAGGCTCTTTCAACTGCATCAGCAGATGTAGGCAACTTTGGAGTTTCTTCTAAATTATAAATGTTTTATTTTAATGTCAATAATAATAAATAAATTATTATTATTATTATTATTAAAATTTAAGCAAATACCTTTTGCTGGTCTCTTATGAGAAACAGATTTCTTCTTCCTTTTCTTTCCTCTACTACTACTACCTTTTGATTTTCGATTTAACCATGGATCTGTAAAAATTATAACATTATTAAATGTGTAACTATAGGATTTTTCTTATATAATACATTGAACAGTAAATAAAAAAATTTATATGTAAGATACTTATAAATCTAATTATAATATTTGTATTATATGATCACCTCTTCAAAATTTAAAGTGGAATCATTCAATATTTATATCTTACAAAAAATTTATTACCCATGTTTACATATATTACAACAGCAGGAGAATAAAGACAAATGAAGTTTTTAGAGAAAAACATCCAAATGTTAACTTATAATGAATTAATTAATGTTTCTAGTCCTTTATACAGTGGTACCTCAATATACGTCTGCTTTAGAATATGTCCAATTCGGAATACGTCCTATTTGGACGAAACAAATTTTGTTCGGTATACGACTTAATTCAATTATATGTGCCATCTATGAACAAGTAGCACTATAGGTGTACTAGACCAGACTAGACATTCGTGGTGCCACAGTTTATAACTTTATTAAATTTCTTCTGATTTTAATTTGTAAGTAAAATTTTATTATTTTTATTAATCATGAATTGCAAAAAGGCAAATGAAAAGCAACAGAAAACTAAAAAAAATGACTAGGATCACAATGGAATTGATAAAAGAAATTATTGAGAAATATGAAGGTGGCATGCATGTTCAAGATTTTAACTGTTGCATACCATATTCCGAGAACGATGATATTGACAATTGTGAAAAATAAAGACATTATTAAATCTGCTAATGTTGCGAAAGGGGTTAAATCAATTTCTAAACAGAGATTGAAGACATTAGATCATGTTGAGAAATTGCTTTTGCTTGGATAACTGAAAAACAGTGTGCTGGCAACATCCTATCAGAAGCAATTATTTGCAAGAAAGCTAAAAATATACATGCTGATCTCATGAAAAATCAAGCAGGAACTAGTCAGGAAAGCGAGGTGTTTAAAGCCAGCCTTTTTTTTTTTTTTACATGAGAACGGATTAATCATTTTTACATTACTTCTTATGGGAAAGGTTGGTTTGGTATACATCCTATTCAGTATAGGTCCAAACATCAGGAACGGATTAAGGTCATATACCGAGGTTCCACTGTATATTATTTTATTAGTATTAGTCTATTGTGACTATAATCTATTAATCGGACTTATTATACTATGTAAACTTACTTATATTATATCATTGGGGGCACTAAATTAAAGCAACTTGCCATTCTTTACCTTAGTTCTAAAACTTCCTTAACTTATATAGTAAATGACTGACATGGTGGGGACATTGTTACATATGCCACTGATAAATATAGAAATATTTTGAATTATATTAACAGAAAAACCACAAAAATAATTAATAGAACTCAATTAAATTTTTCTCTTAGGCTTACAATGGAAATCCAAACTACAATATACTGTTGTTATTAATTGTTTTTCTGATAAAAATTTTTTAATGTAAGATATTATTAGTTAAGGTATATATGGTAAATTTTGAGAAAAATAAGAAAAAGCTTGGTTTCAAGAAATCTGAAAAGAGCTTCTGAGGTAGATGGGCACTATATTTTGACTGTCGAGTAGTGGGTACTTGTATGTTTATGTTTTACAATGCAAAATTTCCCCACGACTTAACATGGGGATGATCTTTGAGCACAGATATCTCCTTGAGGTCAATTTTAAAATTTGGCCTCCATCACAATAAATCATTTTATTGTGCAAAATTTTGTTAAAACTTATCATCCATCACTTCACAAAACATGTTTCAGCAATTTGTCACTATAAACCGCTGTCAAGGAAGCTTGCTCATTTTACTTCAATTAAAGACACATAAAATTTGTTTTTGTTATTTTCTGTTCATGTTTTCTGAAATTTACTCAATACATATTTTTCAATAACACATTTTCATTTTTATTGTAATTATAAGTATATAATTATAGACTTTTTAAATTTAAATCTATTATTACACATGTATGGTGACTTGAACATTACAGCAATCTTTTGGTTCTGATTGATAACGTTGGGTTTAAGATGTTTATATCTAAGATTTCATTCTCTCCCAACACTGATTTATGTTAATTTCAACTTTTCCAACTTGAATTTTAATATTTATTCTATCAGAAGTGATCCTAATTATTGAATTTCCATGAAATTTTCAGACAGTAGTTGTATCTACTCTCCAACACCCATTTGCAGACAATGTCCCAGTCCAAAGCGAGAGGACCCTTACTTTATCTCAACAAGATGTACCTGAAAAACTGTTTGATTCCATTAGCTACATTGAACATTTTGCTGAAAGGCATTACTTGGGGCTGTTTAAAACAAAAAAACTATATCAAACTATATTCTTCATATAATACAAAAGAGGTAAAATACAAATCTATTCAGAATTGGTATTTTTCATGAACTATTATTCTTGAACTCAAATTGACTGTAACTCAAAGTTTTTTCCTGCCCCTCGAAGTTTTACTGTGCTTAAACAAGAGAGAAACAAATTATCACACAGGTGTTAATTATGTATAAATATCGCTATATTTGCAAGTGCTTTCGAAGTGCTATAAAAATGTTGTCCTCAGGCAGACAATCTCAAATAAATTTTTTGAACAAAGATTTCAAATTAAAACTAATGGTATAAGTTCTTTAGAACAAAGCTAAACTTAGAACAACTAAACAAAGAATTTAAATTGACATGCACATGGTGACAATGTGCATGCACCATAATGTGTTGAATAGGTGCCGAGAAGCCCTTGAACTCAATTAATTTACTGTGCTTTCAAGTTCTGTATATAAATATTAGATATACAATGTGCTACCAATACACAGAGGTGTGTTTTGCAATATTTTAACAAAAATATAATGGAATAATTTATAAAATCAACTAAACTATTTTAATATCAAATTAATACAAGATGAAGATAAACAAATGCAAAACACTTCACATACAAAAAGGAGTCCTGAAGAAAGGCAATTTTGCACTTGGAAATGGAGATGAATCCATGGAAGAGACCAAGTTCTACAAGTATTTAGGATTCCAAAAGGCCAAACTAAGATTAATTAAGGAATACCAAAGTAGGTTAAATGCTATAAAGCAATAAACACATATGTCATCCCAGTACTCACATATTCTTTTGGAATTATACATTGGATTCACAGATCTTGAGCAACTCCAAAGGAAAACAAGAACAACACTTACTAAGCATAAACAACATCATCCTAAATCTGCCATAGAAAGATTAACCCTTCCATGTAAAGATGGCGGACGTGGCCTGATCGACATAGTAAACCTTCACTACAAACAAATACAGTCACTGCGAGAGTTTTTCTACAAGAAACGAGAAACACCACAGCTACATAAAGCAGTAACTCTAGCAGACTCAAATAACACACCATTAAACTTACACTCACAACATACAGACATGACACAACATACAGACATGACACAACATATAAAAAGCATAGACAACATTAAGCAATCATGGGCTCAAAAGGCTCTCCATGGCAGGCATCCTTACGACCTGGCCCAGGATTTTGTTGACAAAACTGCGTCAAATAGCTGGTTAGATTGGGGATGCCTCTTTGGGGCGATGAAAGGATTCATGATTGCCATACAGGATCAGATCATAAATACTAAAAACTACAGAAAACACATACTCAAAGATACAACACTCACAAATGACACATGCAGAAAATGTCACATCATGCCAGAAACTATACAACACATCACTTCTGGTTGCAAGCTCTTGGCACAGACAGATTACTTACATAGACACAATCAAGTAGCAAATATAATACACCAAGAGCTTGCAAAGAAACACAAATTGGCAGACATCCACGAACCATACTACAAGTATATTCCACAGACAGTATTGGAAAATAACACGCACAAAATGTATTACGACAGAGCCATAATCACAGATAAAACAATTTACCACAACAGACCAGACATCACACTCATTGACAAACACAATAAAATCACATACATTATAGACATAGCCATTCCAAACACTCACAATGTACAAAACACATGCACTGAAAAAATTAGCAAGTACACAGAACTCGCCCAGGAAATAAGGCATCTGTGGAGGATGGAAAGGGTGCTTATTGTACCTGTCGTTCTTTCCTGTACAGGTGTAATACCACACACACTACACAAAAGCCTGGGAACATTAGAACTGAATAGAAATACATACATCACACTACAGAAGGCCACTATATTGAAAACATGTCATATTGTTAGGAAATTCCTGAATACAGACACTGACACACTTATTTAATTTTAGTTTTGTTTTGGTTGCTATGCCTTGACTCAGGTCTGGCATAGTACACAGCCACCAGCGAGTACTGAGTATAACCCACTAAACCCAACATAATAATAATAATAATAATCCATAGTAAATAATTTAAAATTCTAACCATCACTATCTGAATCTTCTCCAAATGGATTGAAATCACTCTCAACATCAGATTCAGAAGGACTAGGACTGAAATCACTGCCCTCTTCTTCTTCAACTGATTCAGATGCAGATGGTTCAAACTCACTTTCACTTGCACTGTTTTCTCTTTCTTCTTCAGAACTGCTTTCATCAGAAAGTTTACACTCTCTGTATCTTTTAACACCTTGTCGAGCTCTTCGCACTAATTAGTGATTTAAAGGAATACAATAAAAACTTAAAAAATATTAATTTACAAAATTTATTTCTCAGTACATATTTTTAAGCAAGTTTAACTAACCTGGTTTTCCTTTTCCTCCACTAGAAGAGGAAGGTATTGGTGAGGCAGATGGGCTATGCTCAGTTAAGACATTTTCTAAACCTAATAAACGTAGCATTTTTTTCCTATTTGGAGCAGGAAAATGCTTCTCTATAACACTTTGAAAAACACCCCTAAAAATATTTTTCTATGTCAATATATACATAAACAAATAAATTTATCATGATTTTTCACCAAAATGATCTTACTTTGCCGTAGAAACAAAATCTGTTAATTCACCTCCTGCTTCTTCTAACTGCTCTAATGTTCGAGCTTCCCCTGTTGATTGTAGACCAATTACAACACACTAAAAAATTTCAAAACAAAATTATTAAATAATAATAATAAAAAACAATACTGCAAAAATTATATTAAAAAAAACTATCTATATTGCATTTACTTTGCCATCTTTAACAGCTTCTCTTGCAATTGACACTACATGTTTCACTTTAGAAGCTATACAAAGATATTTAAAAAATCTCTGATGTGCTGCCCAAAATTGACACCACATTGTTTTTTTANCAGTTATTTTTACTGATTTTATTTATATAAATATACGAGGCGTGTTTTTTAAGTATTTTGACATTAAAAAAGCACAACTGCAATTTTTTAAAATAATTTTGTTCTTACATGAAAGCGCATACCTAAATCTACTTTTCAACATAATTTCCTTCAATATTAAGACACTTTTCATATCATACAACCAGCTTCTGAATTCCATCCTCAAAGAAATCTGCTGCCTGATTTGTCAACCACTGCAGTACGGCATTTTGACATAATCATCGTTGGCATAGTGCAAACTGCCTAGATGCTTTCTCAAGTGGAGAAACAAATGGCAGTCACTAGTTCAGGGGTGGCCAACAGCTTTTGTCCCCAAGCCGAATTAAAAAGAAAACTTTTTTTACTGGCCGAACCAGAGGTTGGCCTAGGAAGATTTTGAGGTGGTGTGAGATCTCATTGTGGTGTCACCCCAAAGAGACTAAATTGTATATAGAGATTACAGATACATTTTTCACATTATCGTGCTTTATCAACGTTTTACACTGTACTTAAGAGATTTGTAACAGAAAGTTAACTCTAAATGCACAGTGAGTTGTTAATTTTTTTTAGGCATCAGAATTTTTCATCGAGCTATTCATACTTGAGTAGCTAATATTCAAAGATTAAGCGCGGGCCATATAAATTCATTACACGAGCCGTATGTTGGCCATGCCTGCACTAGCTGCTAGATCAGGGCTATACAGAGGGTGATCAAGTTGTTCCCAGCCATATAATGTGATAAGGTCTCGGGTTTGTTGAGCCATCTGTGGACAGGCATCGTCATGAAGCAAAACATCCCCTTACTGAGCTTGCACCTTTTGTTTTGGATAATGAAATCATAAAGCATCTGTTTTTTTCAAACTTTTGCATCAACTTTCTGCACCAAGTCTTCTGTAATGACAGATGGTCACCCACTATGCTCCTTGTCATGAACATTAGTACAGCCATCTTTAAATGCTCTAAACCATTTTCTTACCATAATATTTTTTCCATACACCTCACTAATCTGTTGATGAATGTCAGCCCCTTTCACATCTTTCGCATTAAAAAAAAATCAAATCACCATGCATACTTCACAATCAGCAGGATTTTCAATTGTCTGAGGCATTTTAAACACACACAAACGAACAAATGCTTCCATAATTGAATCTGTGGCTAGCCAACAGATGTAGGTACTCAGCACGCATTTGTGGAACACCAACCGCAGCATTGCAACAGTCCTATTTTAAAATGGTACTTACTTAAAAATCACGCCATGTATTAACAAAAAAAGAAAAAAGGATACTACTCCATCAAAATCTTCTCCACACCAATGCAATAACTGCTTCAGTCGTGTGTGATATTTTCCTCCAGACTGACTCTCTCCAATTAAAGATGAGTAAGTAGCAAATATAACACCTTTCTTCACACTGCCATTCACTTTGGAAGATATCTTGGCATACTTAAACTAAAAAAAAAATGCATTAATTAAAAATTTTATCAATTTTTTTAGACAGCATTATAATTTATTTACTGTACATTAAGTGTTTGAAAATGTAAAATAATAAGTAGAAAATATAGAATAGAGAAAAAAAAAGCTGAATAGAAAAGCACAATGATAATGTTGAATGCAAGGATAATGTCAAAATAAGGAAAAAGTAAAACTAAGCATTGGGGGGAAAAAATTTAAAGCCAGTACTGAATCATTTTTGTTTATATTATAATGCAGTAATTTAAAAAAAGTATAATATAAAACATATTATATTAAAAAAAACTATCTATATTGCATTTACTTTGCCATCTTTAACAGCTTCTCTTGCAATTGACACTACATGTTTCACTTTAGAAGCTATACAAAGATATTTAAAAAATCTCTGATGTGCTGCCCAAAATTGACACCACATTGTTTTTTTAGTCCTTGAATCACCATCCATTAATTCAGCAGCTTCTTGGAACTTTGCTCTTGCTTCAACCCACTAAAAATTTAATATAGCATATTATTTAATTCATAAAATGTATGTATAGTAAATTTATAAATAAATATTAAAATTTCAAATCAGACTCTTACCAATTTTACTGAATCATCATACATTCGAATAAAATCTTTACATAATGGAATTTCTTCAATTCGGAAAGTAACTCCTTGGAAACTAAGTTGTCTAGCCATGTATAATCCTCTTAACTGTACAAAATAATTTACATTTTAAATATATTATGTTTTTAAAAAATAATAAATTGAATAAGAAAAAACATTAAATGCATTAATATGTGAAGTTAAAGCAACCTTGAGACAAAAATAAATCCTCCAAATATACGAGGGCAGTTTTTTTCAATCTCCAATGGTTCATAAAACAAAGTCAAGTGTAAATAACAAACTCAATTTATCACCATAAGTTAAGTACAAACATGATTACTTTTTGACATAATCACCATGAAAATTGAGACATTTGTCTATCTGTGGACAAGCTTTAAAATCTCTCTTCATAGAATGTTGCCTTCAATGACTTGAGTTGGGCCTTAACATTGTTTTGAAAATCATCATTAGTCTCGAACCTCTGCCCTCCTAGCCATGTTTTCAGTTCAGGAAAGAGGTGGAAGTCACTTGGCACTAAATAGGGGCTGTATGCTCGATGTTTAAAACATTCCAAGCTGGGTGGAAGTCTGAAATGTGAAATATTTCACACCTTTAATGTGTGAAGACTTCCACCTCTTTCTTGAACTAAAAACTTGGCTAGCAGGGCAGAAGTTTGAAACTAATGACAATCTTCAAAACAACATTAAGGCCCATCTCAATCACTGGCAGCAACATTCTATAAAGAGGGGATTTCAAAGCTCATCCACAGATAGATAAATGTCTTCAATCTCTTTTGGAAGTGCATGCTATCAAAAAGCTACATTGAAAAAATAATCATCTCTACCCTGTTTTAAAGTAGCAAAATATTGACTAACTACAGTATATTCCTTGGTGGAAATATAGCTATTATATTTATTCTTAGTAAATTCACATTTAAAATTTATTTTATCATTTGCTATATAGTAATAGACTGAAAATTAACACACAGTATTTGATTTAATCCTTCTCCTTTATACTTTTTACATGCTATAGTAGTTCTGCCTACATAAGTGAAAATTAAGTTTATCCTTTGTTCATCTATTGTTGAAGCGCAATTGTTTGTAATAAAGAGCTTAAAAAGCATTTGTATCATCTACAAATTGAGTTAAACTTTACAAAAGTTGCAGGGAGGCAGGGAAAAGGCTCTACTCCAATAAAACAGAATAAATAATTTCATCAAACTTTTTCCAATTTTAATTTTTTAACTGATCTATAATGTACTAGCAGACCCCGCCATGCGTTGTTGTGGCTCAAAATGTATCTATTATAAATGTATAACACTTCCCCCATGGGGGGAACTTTTTGAAAAATCCCTTCTTAGTGTACATTCTCTTGATGTACCCTATTAAAACACAATCAAAAACGCATCTAAAGTAGTATAATAGAAGCCAAATTCTTCACGGTAAGCTTTAATCTTGTCCCTCTCCGCACGGGGGGAATATCGAAAAATCCCTTTTTAGTGTATATTCTGTTGACGCACCCTATTAAAACGCAATCAAAAACACAAAAAACCACATCTAAAATAGTATAAATAGAAGCAGGGTTCTTTGTGGTAAGCGTTACCCCTCTTCATCTCCATCAGTGGGGGAATTTCAACACGTATATACAGTCCCCCCCTATAACGTGGTAGATACGTTCCACTTTATAAGACTTTCGCATTGTAGGAATCCTTAAATACACGAGTCAATCACAGCCTGGTATGTGTGCAGTTTATGGATTACGGCTGTTTGAAAGGTTTTCTTCCATAAAATGAATCGATTCTAGACTAATTTGACTCAACATTTCCAAAACACGTGTATGATTTTTTGGGAATAATCCGTATAAACTATGCTATAAACAAAAAATTGTAGGATTACTTATTGAGTGTGCACCATTCAACAATGCCATTGCTTAAGCTTGTTTTCATTGCAGAGCACCAAATGGCGAACGCGTTTTCTGATAAGTTATTTTTCTGTGAAAAATTCATTGAACTTTGGAGACATCATTAATAGAAATAATTTTTATGGCCATTGAATAAGAAATGTTTTTTTCACAAGAAACGTAAAAAATTACAGTACTGTATTAGACTTACAGTACCTAATTTGTATACTGTACAGACGATAGTAAACTCAACTTACCATAAACTGTCCATAGCATGTAAATAGTTTGGCTGCTTGTCTACTATTGATCCAGATTCAACCAATCCTGTCACGACACAATCGGTGATACGTTTTACCGCATTTTACGAGTCTTTTTTAGCGTCTTCATACAAATACGGTTGCAATTTTTTTGCCGCAATATACGAATCCGCATTATAGGGGGGATCGACTGTACATAAAAATGCGTGCGTATTCGAATGCAATGTAGTGTCAAAATTTAAAAGGAATTGATAGGAACAAACGAACATTACATTTTTATTTATATAGTAGATAGAAGATGATCTGCTTTAGTTCATCCTCACAGAAAAGCAAACTTAGGTCATTGTACTCGCAGAATTAGCGCTATCTGTTGGACACAAAAGTCTTAATCCTAGATAATATCTTTTAATTTATATGAATGTTTAACGAAATAATATACAGCCTATGTCCACCCTTAAGTTTCATTCTAAATGTTGGTGAAAGAATTTTTGAAATTGGATGAGTAGTTTCAGAGATTACCTCCTACATCAAACTTATGAACTTTACCTCTTTATAATATTCGTATAGATTAAAAAAAAAAACAATTAGCAATAGTTTACTAATAATTCCTAACCCTTTGCAGTCCATATTTTCCCCATTCAAGTCCAATTTAAATTGTTAAAAAATCAAATACAAATAACTTGAAAAAAATGTTAGAACAACAATAGAGGTAAAATAAAATTATTGATAAGTCTGAAAATGGACAAAGTACAGAGGTTGCGGCTGAAGTTTTCATCTCTAAAATGTAAACATCGAATGTTGAGTGCCACCAACTTGTAAGCCTAGAAGTTTGATAATGGCATTTGGAACGTTGAGCATTATTCCAATGATGTTCCAAACGCCATTGTCAAACTTCTAAGCTTATAAGATGGTGGTGCTCAACATTTGACGTTCATGTTTTAGAGACGAAAACTTCGGTCACAATCTCTCTAGTGTTTCCAGCCGAAAAATTTAATATGCAGAGATCATACTTGGAATTACCTAATGTTTTAATTGATGGTATGTCTTCTTCTAAACAATAATAATCTTACTTTTCTTTCTCTTCTACCACTATACTGTATTTATTTAGTACAATAAAGATAAAGTTTTACAAACAACAAAATTTTTATCCTTGTATCTTTTTTTTTAGAATGGGAACAAATTAATTGAATATCAGTTATTTATTATGAGAAAAATTGTTTCTATATTCATCATTTTTCATATTCATTAGATCCTTAGGAAGAGATTAATAATGATTATAGAGGTTCCAGTGTAGTTGTATGACGTTTATTTGCAATAAATAATGCAAAGCATTAAAAAAAAAAGTTTTTATTTTACTGATCTGTATATTTTCAAAAAACATGACAAATTTGTAACAAACATATATGCATGTCAAATACAGTGAAAATTTTTTTAAATTGAATGCATATGTTTGTAGTAAATTTTGACCTCCTTTTCTTCATATATAAACCTCAATAATCTGAACAACTCTTTACAATAATTAGATTAGGTTAGCAAAAGCACACTGTAATTCTTGTCTTCAGCCACATCTTGTATATTAAGAAAAACAAATTTTTAATTTTACCTAATAAAATTTTAAATATATATATTTATGGATGTTGTTTTATTAATCTGTTCATTCTTTTACTGAAAAATATATACCATCATAACCTTATATATTATTATTATTATTATTTTTGGTGCTCATCTCATAATATAATCGAGATGGATTGTTAATAATAATAATAATAATCACAGAGAGCCCAAATGGTTAGAAGTTGAAAGTTGAAATTTGGTACACAGATATGCCACATGAATGCACACTAAGAAGGGATTTTTGGAAATTCCATCCCTTGAGGAAAGAGTTAGTTTTAGTCAGTATAAAGTGTAAATAATACAGTCGACCCCCTATAAGATATAGATACGTTCCATTCTTTGGAAACAGTAAAAAACCCCCTATATCTTATAGGGGGTTTTTTACGGATACCGGTCACAATTTTTTCGTAGTTTTATAGGAATCATAATTATAGGGACCGTAATTATAGGGGGGTTGACTGTAAAGAAGAAAAATAAATAGTGGCACATATAGTATACATTTTGGCAATTAATAAAAATTTTAATCATTTCCACCTTTTGGATAACCCAAAAACAATAAATCCAAATAAACAAATTTGAAATATAATGTCCAAACAAGTTTTTTTTTTTAGATTTTAGAATTTAAAATTAATCATTTAATTCCAGTAAGGTTATCATCAAGTAAGTTAATTCCCCATTAGAATAAAAAATTTTCTGATATTTTTTATTTTATAGGTTATTTAAATAAAAAATCTTTTTAAATACTCAGTTAAAATTCAATAATGATTTTAATCATTTTTTGCAGTTTTGGCTGCATTTTAGTAGGATATGCTATGAGAATGCACACTAAGAAGGGATTTTTTGAAATTCCCTATGGGGGGAGAGAGAGAGATGGTTAATATAATATTTTATATTACAATATTATATTAGGTAGCCAGATAATTAAAACTAAAAATAATAAAATAACAATTAAAACTCTGGCTTTTACACCGAAACTGAAACTAAAAGCAGAATTAAAAATAAAATCAAATCAATCAAACCATAATATTTTGCAAAGTGTGGACAAAGTACTTGCTGTTGGTCTTGAATAATTTAGTTATATTTCCTCCAGCCAGGCAGTCAGAGTTGAATCTCTATTTATAACACTTCACAAAGTGTTAGTTTCAGTTTCAGTTGGTGGTGATGATGGAACATTTTGCTTTTAATATATATATATATATATATATAAAAGAATATTATATTATAATTATAATATTGCCTTTATAGGCATTTTAATGCATAAACATAAAATACAGCTAAAAAATTGTTTTAAATGTTTTGTTTTGGAAGTCTGGAACAGATTAAACTATTTTAGATTATTTCTTACGTGAAAATTAGTTTCAGTTTTAGAACAAAATCAGTTTTCAAACAACATTTTTAGGAATGAATTAAGTTTGAAACCTGAGGTTTGACTATATTATTAATGCTTAAAATGATCAGTAGATACAATGCTATTAAACTTCAATTCATTTTCTAGTTACATTTAGAAACTATAATATATTTTTGAAATCTTCATATTGTGACTAATGAGAGCTAAACAAATATAAATATATTAAATTAATTACATATTTTGTGTTTTAATGAAAATAAAAACTATACTAATAACATATTGACTGTCAGTAATTGTTTAACAATATTTAAAAAAAAAATTGTTACCTTCATATCCATTGCCACTAACTCCATTGCACCTACACCCCTTTTCTCTACAGCAGATATAAAATCATTAAATTCACGAAAAGTTGTTCCTTCTCCCCAAAGTCCTAATCTTGTCATATAAGCCATATTTTTTGGTTCAGAGGCACCTAAAATAAATTTAATTTATAGACAGAAGTGATTTTATAAATAATATAATTTTTTAAAATAATAATTAAACGAACCTGTTGCACTCGCATAAACTACACGAGCTTTTGGAAGTTTATTTTGTAATTCTAATACTGTAAGTCCTGTTTTTGTTGGTTTACTAGATCCAACAGGACAAAGATTTTTTGCTTTATGACATTCATCAAAAACAATCTTTATCAAGAATTAAGGAGACATTTAATTAGTTGCACAGCATGTATTTTAAATATTTTTAAAAACAACAAATAAATATTTCAAGTGCAATCTTTAGAAATTACTATTCTTTTAGACAAAATTAATTTAAGAAAATCATAAAAAATTAATTCTAGATTTTATACTAAATATTTTTTGTTTATTTTTAATAAAATAAACATTGCACTTAATTCTCATATTATTCTGTTTTAATCATATGCAAATTAATTTTACAATATTTTAAACAAGATATTACAAAACTTGTTGTTTAGAATTCCATTTCAGCTCTTATTCTATTCAATATTCTAAAAGTTTGTAATGTATTTATGGCTTCCCAGTCAGAGAACATTCCCAAATAAAATATTTAAGTTTCAACTTCCTTAATAGGCAGTATTAAGAATATTTCTTAATAATAATTTCAAGTTTCACAGATTATGAAAACTATTTTCAGGAAGGAAATAACACAAAGTGAATAAAATGAGTCACGTTAGAAAAAAAGCATAAACTTTCTGCTTGGATAACCTAGATAATGTAATTGATTATGCTGCCTGTTACCTTGCAATAGTTGTAGTTTTGAATGCCATTATAAGCCATATATTTTTAGATCTCTCTTGTATTAAATTATGAAATTAATTTAATATGAAATGACACTTAACACTCACAGGGTCAAATTATTGTAATTACTTAGTAAGTATTTATTTCTGATTAATTCTTCAGTATTCACATAGTGTAATCTAGAAAGTACATTCACACACAGAATAACCACATATTTTTAGTATTTGATCCTTAAATATACCTAATAGAAGTACATTAATACATTACACTCATTTACTCATTTGCTACTCCCTAATAGCAGGCATTTCAAATGCAATTTTTAAGTTAACACACTTAGTTTTATAACATCAAGCTTAGTTTCCACAGTAATAGAGCAACACTTCTTGAATTTATCTCCACTGTTAAATTTACTATTATGTTTTGGATGTATTTTTGAAGTACTAATCATAAAAGTTTATAAAAATTGCAAACAATAGCAAAAAATGCCATTACTCCAACCTTACCAACTTCACTGCCACCTCATAAATGGTAATGGAATGTCAGAATTTGCATGAAAATAAAAAATGACAATATGCAATAGAAATAAAGCTACATTATTTATTATTGGCTAAATACTGACTTCACGGCTACCCCATGACCAACAAGAGAAGTTCAGAATCTGTACAAAATTTAAATTTTATACATACAATAAATTGTTTTTAAGCCTGAAAGTTTGTAAGTAAGAGAGCTCCTGTAAGTATTTTTAGAAACATATCTGTATCAGTTAAAATTTATTATTATTTACCAAAAAAAAATTTTATATCTGAAAGTACCTTACTATGAAGAATATCGAATAAAACAGTTATTTTTACTGATTTTATTTATATAAATATACGAGGCGTGTTTTTTAAGTATTTTGACATTAAAAAAGCACAACTGCAATTTTTTAAAATAATTTTGTTCTTACATGAAAGCGCATACCTAAATCTACTTTTCAACATAATTTCCTTCAATATTAAGACACTTTTCATATCATACAACCAGCTTCTGAATTCCATCCTCAAAGAAATCTGCTGCCTGATTTGTCAACCACTGCAGTACGGCATTTTGACATAATCATCGTTGGCATAGTGCAAACTGCCTAGATGCTTTCTCAAGTGGAGAAACAAATGGCAGTCACTAGTTCAGGGGTGGCCAACAGCTTTTGTCCCCAAGCCGAATTAAAAAGAAAACTTTTTTTACTGGCCGAACCAGAGGTTGGCCTAGGAAGATTTTGAGGTGGTGTGAGATCTCATTGTGGTGTCACCCCAAAGAGACTAAATTGTATATAGAGATTACAGATACATTTTTCACATTATCGTGCTTTATCAACGTTTTACACTGTACTTAAGAGATTTGTAACAGAAAGTTAACTCTAAATGCACAGTGAGTTGTTAATTTTTTTTAGGCATCAGAATTTTTCATCGAGCTATTCATACTTGAGTAGCTAATATTCAAAGATTAAGCGCGGGCCATATAAATTCATTACACGAGCCGTATGTTGGCCATGCCTGCACTAGCTGCTAGATCAGGGCTATACAGAGGGTGATCAAGTTGTTCCCAGCCATATAATGTGATAAGGTCTCGGGTTTGTTGAGCCATCTGTGGACAGGCATCGTCATGAAGCAAAACATCCCCTTACTGAGCTTGCACCTTTTGTTTTGGATAATGAAATCATAAAGCATCTGTTTTTTTCAAACTTTTGCATCAACTTTCTGCACCAAGTCTTCTGTAATGACAGATGGTCACCCACTATGCTCCTTGTCATGAACATTAGTACAGCCATCTTTAAATGCTCTAAACCATTTTCTTACCATAATATTTTTTCCATACACCTCACTAATCTGTTGATGAATGTCAGCCCCTTTCACATCTTTCGCATTAAAAAAAAATCAAATCACCATGCATACTTCACAATCAGCAGGATTTTCAATTGTCTGAGGCATTTTAAACACACACAAACGAACAAATGCTTCCATAATTGAATCTGTGGCTAGCCAACAGATGTAGGTACTCAGCACGCATTTGTGGAACACCAACCGCAGCATTGCAACAGTCCTATTTTAAAATGGTACTTACTTAAAAATCACGCCATGTATTAACAAAAAAAGAAAAAAGGATACTACTCCATCAAAATCTTCTCCACACCAATGCAATAACTGCTTCAGTCGTGTGTGATACTTTCCTCCAGACTGACTCTCTCCAATTAAAGATGAGTAAGTAGCAAATATAACACCTTTCTTCACACTGCCATTCACTTTGGAAGATATCTTGGCATACTTAAACTAAAAAAAAATGCATTAATTAAAAATTTTATCAATTTTTTTAGACAGCATTATAATTTATTTACTGTACATTAAGTGTTTGAAAATGTAAAATAATAAGTAGAAAATATAGAATAGAGAAAAAAAAAGCTGAATAGAAAAGCACAATGATAATGTTGAATGCAAGGATAATGTCAAAATAAGGAAAAAGTAAAACTAAGCATTGGGGGGAAAAAATTTAAAGCCAGTACTGAATCATTTTTGTTTATATTATAATGCAGTAATTTAAAAAAAGTATAATATAAAACATATATGAACTTATAATTAAGCAATATTGTTATTAAATGTAAGAGCATTTTAAATAAAATAAAGAAATAAAAAATAAATCATTTATTTGTTTAAAAAATTTACAATTTGTATTTGTTTCTTACAAATTTCTCTTCTTTACTATTGTAATAACTTGCCAGAATTTTATAAATATTACATCTATCATTTTATTCTTCCACTTGTGTGTGTGTGTGTGTGTCATCAGATAAAACTGAAGGTCAGGTAACCAAAGATAATATAACAGAAAACTGTAGTGCATTAGATAATACTGATATTAGAACTTACTGATAAACATATCAATTATCAACAAAGGATAGTGTCACAGAACATTAGCAGACATATTCAGGAATAAATTGTGTTTCTTTTTTATAAGTGTCAAATTTATTTATTTAAACTGTAAAAATAGGTTTACATCATTTTTCTGTAAAGTCATTACTTTACAATTTTTAAAATATCATAATATAGCACAATGCTGAATGGTTTGGCAATTTATTTTCTTTAAACTATAGTTTAAAGAAAGTAGATTGCTAGAAAAGAAAGTAAATTGCATTTATTTGAATATAAGAGCTCCACATTTTAATCACAATAATTAACAAATTATAGCATTCTCTGTTTTTTCAGTCAATGTAACTGTTGCTTTTCAAAACAGAAAACAAAAATATTCAATTGACATAGCACACTACTGATTGTTGGTTTCCACTCATTTATGAATTAGCAACTAAATAATCACTAGTATGCTAATTTTTGCATTTGGAGTCAAAATTAAAAAAAAATCATCAATAATTTACCAATAATGTATTGAAAATTTACTATTTTACCACTAATAAAAAAGTCCATAAATTTGCAACCCCTCCACGACTCAATTTGTATACAATGATGTCATTAGTATTAGTTTATAGCTGATCTTTTCATCTTGTCATCAGTGATCATTAATTAACAGAATGAAAAAGAAGTACTGAGACTAATTAAGCATGGATCTATCTTGTCAGATAATTTTACAAAATAAAGTATTTTCAATTAATACATAAGAATTTGCAATTATTTTATTATAGCTTTTCTTTTGCAAATATAATTTTTCAAAGTAACAACAACTTAAATATTTCAGTTCCAAAATACTTTGGCAACAATTACTCATGCATTTAAATTCTTGTAGAAAATATATCTACAGCAATATCTGATGTCAAAGTAAACAACTATTATTGGGAATTTGCTCTACATTTTGCCCATACAAAACTATTATATAATCTGTTTAAAAACATTTACAGTTTTGCATCCCCAACACTACTTATTTAATACTGTCATCTCTTTTCCCTAATTCTTATCACTCACTCTACAAAATTTGTTAATTACTATCAAACAGAAATACATAGCACTCCATTCACTTCTTTCTCTTTTTTCCTTTTCCTATGACAAAAATTCTGAAAGTGAACATATTGAGAAGCTAATTAAAATTTCTAGATTCTCATATTTTTTTATATATATTGTTTTATAAAAGCACATTATTTCATTTTTTCCAAAAATAACATATTAAATGTTTGTCAAACTAACAAATTAAAGAGTAATATCTTGAATATATTAAATAATCTGTTAAGAAAGCAGATTATTAAAATATCCGAGATATAAGTTTAAAGCATTTCTTCTTCAGATTGTACAATTATATATAAGAATAGAAACAGTGAAAAAATTAATTATTAAATTTGTTTCTATAGAGAAAAAAATTACAGAGTTGACTGAGATGTTTACCTGTAAAACATCAAGTAATAAGTAATAACACTTTCTGTGAAGATACTGTATGAACTTCACAGAAAATGTATGAGTATCTCAGTCATATTTTGTTTTGAGTTTGATAATTTACAGAGAGCTTCTTAAATTTAATATGTTTACTTTTGCATTTTTGAATAAAATTACAAGAAAATAAACATAAAAAAAGCACTTTTAGAATTCCATGAGTATTTTACATTATTATAAAGAAGACAAAATGAAGAAATCAAACATATAATCCTAGTTTTTGATGTAATGCTAATAGTTTCACAGTTTTTTAATAAAACTCATACATTTTTATGTGATGTAACTCATTTGTTTTTTTAAATGCACCCTCTAAATGCCAGAATGCTGGTTTTTACCGTACAAAAATATATGTTTTTGTGGTCTCCCACAAAAAGACTGACATGTCAGATAATCTGCAAAAATACAGTAAAAGGCAGAACAAGCTGAGATCTTGAGAAGATTGTAACCACAATATGGAGAACAAACAATGTCACAACAATGCACAAGTGTATGAATGGAGTCAGTGGTTTGGTGAAAGATGAGAGATGATTACAAATGAAATGCATAGTTGCATTAAGCCTATAGCAGTTACAGCACTGAACATCTCACATATTCAACAGCTCATCTTGGAAAACTGGCAAGTTTCAGTATGGGAATTGTCTTCAGAAGTGAAAACAGTGTTGGTAGTGTCAAGAAAATCATTCAAAACTTACAGTCTTGAAGAATGTTCACAAGATGGGTTCCACAACAGCTGACATTTAATCAAAAATCAACATACAAGACAATTTTTGAAGGGCAACTTAAGCATTTTCAAGCTAAATGTGTTAATTTTCTGGAAGCAATCACCTAGTGAGACAAAACTGATGCACTATTTTTTTTTCCAGAAAATAAATGAAGCAGCACAGAATGACAATTCTGAAATTATCTGCTTCCCAAAAAATGCAAAGCACAACCTATTGAAAAGACAAGAAAGTTATACTTTGCATAGATAACACTATGAAAATCCCAGAAGACAGTTGCAGTTGTCTCCTGGGATTTTGATGGTGTTATTTGTGTGGATTTCTTGGAAAAAGAAAAAACAATTAATGCAGGGTTCTATTCCATGTTGTTGAAGAACCCTTTGACAAGCTATTAGCAAAGAAATTAACAAAAAAGACAAGGAAAGCTGTCAGAAAAAGTCATTATTCTTCATGAAAATGTCTGACCCCATATAGTGAATCTGACAGCAGCATCTCTAATGAAATGAACTAGGAAGTTTTGGTCCACTTACAGTTCTGACTAGGCCCCCAAGTGATTATCATGTTTGGGTGACTCCCAAAAAAGCATGTGAGATAGATAATATTCAACACAGACGGAAAACTCCAGAAATGAGTCTTATGGTTACACTATAAACCAATTTGAATTTATCCAAAGACACAACACTAGATAATAACAAATGATATAGAAGTTGTTGAAATTAGATATATTATTTGTGGATTAACTCAGTTAAAATGGAAAACTGCAGAGTAGACCTATAATTGATATTTCCATTTACAAGCTAGTGAAAGTTTTAATACACTACAATATCTTTAATTCCCAGCTAAATAGAATGTTTTCAATTTTCTTTAATTTGTGGTTCATATTTGTTTATGATATTTGGAATATCACAAAAATACAATAAATATATACTAGAAGTTGAATGAAGGCAATTAAAACAGAGATGAATAGAATAAAAATGAGTAAGTTAGTAAAAAAATGTAAACACAAATAATTCAATGATGAAAAATGCAACTATTTTCCTCTAAAATAAATAAAAAAAAATTAAGATTTAAACCCAGAATAGCTATTGAATTTTCCGATTAGGGGGGGAGTTTTATTCCCTCTCGTTGGGATGGACTAAGGTCTACTCATATGTGGGTGGTGATTTTAGGAGGTAGCAAAAGACAAGTGTTTCACAAAGAAACCATTTATTTTTTTTTAAGATCATGCTTACAAATAATTGACAAGGTCCCAAACATTGATGTCCTGGCAGTTGAATGTCTCTAGTGGTTTTCTTTCGTCTGGTGGTAATGGAGCCCCAGGACAATGGCGAATTGGAGTTTGGAGTAGTAAAGTAACACAGGATATTGATGAACAAAGGCACAAAGAGAAGACGGCAACATTCACAACAAGTGTACTTGAGAAAAAGTCCCCCTTGTCCTTGATGACAGAGGTTTTGTTTTTTGGTATCGATTCATTCCTAATTGGTTGGGCTTTCCCTTCTATGCTCCCCTATTGGTCTTTTACCTGTCTCTAGGTGAAAACTGAGACCAACTCAGGTTGTGATAAAGGTCTGCCCAGGATGGTTTATCCTACACCATCCTGTCGATTATGATCATCTTTATCAATGTTTATGAGACCTATGCCTTTTCTATTACATTTCCGTTTTGTTTTAATTTATTGCGTCTTATATTTAAATATTTCCCTTTTTAATTTTCGTTACCTAAAAATTTGTTTTTCCCGCTATTCTTTATGAGCAACGATGTCAAAGTCCGGTTTCGCTGACTCAACACTTATATAACTTGTTTTCTAGATGGTTTAACTTAATAAATTTTACATTTTTCTTCTTAAATCCTTTTTTTTTTTTTTTTCCCTACTATTTCTGGTGCCTCACACTATGGAATATTGATTTGTAAACCAAAATGTATTCACATACCATTGCTTTACATATTTGAGCCAGAGCATATAAATGCAATTGATTCCTTTTCTCTCAAAACTACTTATAATAAAGGATTTTGACTAATACATATAGGTTTAATTTCATATAAACTTCTATTTTAAACATGAAATATTTAACAGTTAATTAAGTAGTCTTTGGTTATATTTCATTGTAAGATAAACTTAAATATATTAAAATCTAATAAAAATATTAAAAAAAAATAACTAAAAACAAAAATTTAGTTTTAAAAATAAAATAGTAATAAATAACTATAACTAAATTAAAAACAAATTGCTTGAGATTAATCCCTCGACATAGTGTGTTTTCCCCTACAAAAAGATTTTAGGGATTTCTTAGAAAACAGCCAAAAACATAGGGATGCTTAAAATATTTATTTTTAATCCCCATAGATAGAATTACTTTAATCAGCTATGTTTTTAATTACAATTAACATCTTTATTTTATTAATATATAAAATTTCTACCATATATGAAAATGTAATTCATCTCTAAACAGAATGTTCATCACCATTCTCATATATTTTTATATTGTTGAAAAATTATAGAATTCAGGCCTCAAAGTGCCATTTTCCCTCCGAAAAAGTGAGTTGAAGTACAGAAACAATGAGTAAAAAGTGAGTGCAATAGTGACAAAACAAAATGAAAACATGGAAGGAAAACTCAGCAAAATAGCAGTAAAAATAGTTTTGTTCTCTTTTTATTCTGTTATGGTCAAATACATTTTAAAAATTTCTGTATATACTGTAATACAGTAGCCACTCGCTACATTGCAGATCTGGATATATTGTACTTTTTTAATGCTCCAAATTTTAAAAGCACTCGTGTCAATAAATTTTAAATTATCAATTGCCAACAAATTTCTATTTGCAACGAAATACACTATTTTATTTCTACCATTGTCCTTGAAACTACCATTGAAGGTGAAACAATTCTTCAAGATCTAAATATGCAAAACAGGTGGACATATCAATTGTCATTTGTTTCCTTTTGATATTAAATATTGTTTATTTATTAGTTTTAAGTACAGTCTCCTCATTTACAAGTTTCTGTGAATTTGAAATTTCACACCTTTATGCAAATTGATGATATTGTGCCAATTCACATAAAGGTGTGAAATTTCAAATTCACTGCATAATGTGTAAGGAAAAGACTTCTTTAATTCTGAACAGAAAGTTTTTATACAGTAGTAACTTTATTTTGCTTTTTAAAAAATTTTACTCTTTGTATTTTTATAAGTTTTGATGGTTCTATTATATGTTCCATATTTATTTTTTAAACTTTTCAATTACAGCATTTATAATTTTTATTGAAAAACATAAATTACACAAATTTTTAATAAGCAATTTATTGTAAAATATAGTACTGTATAATAAAATCGTAACTGATATTTTGTTTTTATATCGACAGTATTTGTCTTTAAATGTCATTGTTAAAGAAACAATACCAAATGGGTGTTGGTGGTATCGATGTTTATGGAAATGTCAATTAATATGAGATAACCAAGAATAAAGTTCAGTATTGAAAAACTAAGCCTATTTTATATCAAAAACACTTGCTTATGAAAGAATACAGGATAGAGATTGCATAGCACGTATAATCTGTTTAGTATAAGCCCAGAATTTGCTTATATTGCACCTTTTCTTTCTCTCCTGACAAGTGCGATATAACAAGGAGCTACTGTATTTCCAGTAACCTTGAATACTTAAAAAGTCTTTGGCATCTGTAAATAATCAGTAATGGAAAATGATCTTCTTTCATTCTGATTATTCTGGATGTTTTCAGCTTCCTTCTTTTTTGGTTCCTCTTGCTTTTGAACACTTAATGCTAACAAGCATTACATGTGCTGCCCATACTTCTTTCACATTCTTGCTGTTAATGGCCTTTTCCAGTATTTTTTTGTTTGCTGCTTTTAACAAAACTTGTCCTGTTGCATGTATTTCACTTTCTTCTGGTTCGAGCACTCTTTCCGACATTGATGCTCTATCAGGAGGAAGTGCCTGGCGTGAAATTGAAAATCCCTGTTTGATATCAGCATTGCCATGAGAGACGGTCAATGCTGATTTCGCTAATTTGGTTACACTGGGACATCTATCATGATCAAAAACTGTTTATTTTTTAATGCTTTGAGACATGTAAATATTGATTTCAAAATAAATTAATAAATTTGAAATAAACAATTTCAAATAGTATAAGTAAAATAATGTTTTATTAATGATTTCATAAATAACAGGAAACTTTTTCTTGCAGAAGAATAAAAAGCAACATTGTTACAACGTTGTTAACCTTTTGGGAAGCATGTGAAAATTTTTCCCGCAAGTAATCACGTGTTTTACCTTTTACAACATTTACCAAATGAATAAAAAAATTCAATGTGTAAATATGAATTTACATTTTCATTTACTTTTTTAGTCTCAATTGATGCACACTTATAATCAGCATAAGAGATGAAATTAAAAAATGGATATTTCACAAAAAAGGATACCAGGGTGCAAAGCTCACAGGCAGTATGAAAGATGCTGCACTAACTCTAAATAACTAAGCTTAATACCCAGACGCTATGCCTTCAGTTTTAAAATACCTGGCAAAAACTAGCCCATTTCTGCAACATATTTGAAAAGTCTGTGTTAACTAATATCACTCCTCTTACATGGTGGCAGTCACTACGTGACAGAATTGATGAACCTGTTTTAAAATTAGTTACACAGCTGCACACAGTAGTAGTTTCTTCAGCGGGAATTGAGAGAATTTTCTCTACCTATGGACTTGTTCATTCAAAACTTAGAAATCGACTTGGACAGGAAAAGGCAGCAAAGCTTTTTAAAGTTTTCAAGCATCTAAACAAACACTACTGAGCGTTGTACATTTCTAAAAATAAGAAATTCTTCAAGCTGCAGAAGCCACTACTGTCAATCCTGTTTTGGTGTTTGTATCAATACATGCAAATCTTAAAAATGCCATTGCATAAAGAAACATTTAAAAATGCTATATTTTATATTAAATAAAACATTCTGTACATTCTTGAGTCTTACACTAAAGTTTTCTGTTTTGTTTTTTTCTTGTTCTATTTTACTAGATCAAGTGCTTTATTTCAAAAAAAAAAGAAAAATTGTGTTTTAAATCCAATGCCTATGTTTTAAAACATGTTTTAAAATGTTTTTTTTAAAATCATGCCAACCCTGCTTAAAATACTTATTTTTAATCCCCATAGATAGAAATGCAACTCTGAAGAACTAGATTTTGGCTAATAATGACAATATGGCATGAGTACATAACTTTACTCAATATTGGCTTCTGAATTTGTAATGAGAGGGATTTTTTTTGAGTGCACGAAAGACTTTTACATACCAGAAAGGAATTTTTGTTTCCTATAACCTAAAGACACTAAGCAGAAGTTTCAGTTTTGAGTCCTGCTCAGGGCCGAGTATTTTCTTCCAGAAAATTCTAGTCCGATAGTCTGATAATTCGGCAGGTCGTTTGGCTTTAAAATTATTTTTGATTCCCACATCTTAAGCACGAGGAAATCACCAAAAATGTGAGAAAAGTGAAAAAAATGACTCAAAAGGTGAGAAAAGTGAGGATACTTCAAAAAGGTGAGTACAAGTGAGAAAAGCGAGTAACTCCAAGGCCTGAGAATTTAATTTTCGTAATGCAAATTTGAAAATTTTTTAATTTTGTTTATTATTTTGAAATTACATATATTAATGTCTCGACAAAAGACAGTTTTTAATTACTAAAAGTTTTAAAATTAAAAATTAAACTTATATAGAGAAGGAAAGCTTATTACTGAAACAAGATAATCCACAATAATAAAAAAAATTAACATATTTATTAAATAAAAATTTAAATATTAAAATTATGATTTACCTTATTTAAAGCATGAACATCTATTTTGTTTGCACCTATATCTTTTAAGTCTCTTTCAGCATCATATTTCAAGTCATTGGATACACTTAACCTGTAACATAAACAAGTTTATAAGTTTTATAAAATTATATATTTATTCGCAAAAGTTCTACTTTCAAAATAAAATGTTACCATAAAGCTCTTTTTCTTCCAAGTAAATAATTTTCATAAATAATTCCAGCCAAGGTTCTACCTTTTCCAACACCAGCACCATCACCTATATTTAATAAATAATTGTGGATTGTTTCTACTAATTTATTATAAAATGATAAACTTAAAAGCAACCATATTTCAAACTTACTTTCAGCTTTTTTTTTTTTTAATAATAAAATGATTGAAAAATACATAAAATATATCTTACCTATAAGAAAACCAGCTCTAGTTCCATTAGGCAAAAGTGTCTCATGTTGTTGAGAGGCATACACAATAGATTCTAATTGTAAAGCTGATAGCAAGCATCTATCAATTGCTTCTTCTGGAATGGACATTTTGTACCACACATCAGGTGGTTGTACACTAGATAAAGAATTTGTTTCAACAATTGGATCTGGATGGAATTCTCCAACTTTCACTAAAATAAATAAAAATTGCTATTAATAAATAACACTCAAAATTAGATATATATATATATTAAATAAAATAAGTTACTCATTTATTACAAAAAATATATCTATCACATANTAAATAATCAGTAATGGAAAATGATCTTCTTTCATTCTGATTATTCTGGATGTTTTCAGCTTCCTTCTTTTTTGGTTCCTCTTGCTTTTGAACACTTAACACTAATAAGCATTACATGTGCTGCCCATACTTCTTTCATGTTCTTGCTGTTAATGGCCTTTTCCAGTATTTTTTTGTTTGCTGCTTTTAACAAAACTTGTCCTGTTGCATGTATTTCACTTTCTTCTGGTTCAAGCACTCTTTCCGACATTGATGCTCTATCAGGAGGAAGTGCCTGGCATGAAATTGAAAATCCCTATTTGACATCAGCATTGCCATGAGAGACGGTCAATGCTGATTTCGCTAATTTGGTTACACTGGGACATCTATCATGATCAAAAACTGTTTATTTTTTAATGCTTCGAGACATGTAAATATTGATTTCAAAATAAATTAATAAATTTGAAATAAACAATTTCAAATAGTATAAGTAAAATAATGTTTTATTAATGATTTCATAAATAACAGGAAACTTTTTCTTGCAGAAGAATAAAAAGCAACATTGTTACAACGTTGTTAACCTTTTGGGAAGCATGTGAAAATTTTTCCCGCAAGTAATCACGTGTTTTACCTTTTACAACATTTACCAAATGAATAAAAAAATTCAATGTGTAAATATGAATTTACATTTTCATTTACTTTTTTAGTCTCAATTGATGCACACTTATAATCAGCATAAGAGATGAGATTAAAAAATGGATATTTCACAAAAAAGGATACCAGGGTGCAAAGCTCACAGGCAGTATGAAAGATGCTGCACTAACTCTAAATAACTAAGCTTAATACCCAGACGCTATGCCTTCAGTTTTAAAATACCTGGCAAAAACTAGCCCATTTCTGCAACATATTTGAAAAGTCTGTGTTAACTAATATCACTCCTCTTACATGGTGGCAGTCACTACGTGACAGAATTGATGAACCTGTTTTAAAATTAGTTACACAGCTGCACACAGTAGTAGTTTCTTCAGCGGGAATTGAGAGAATTTTCTCTACCTATGGACTTGTTCATTCAAAACTTAGAAATCGACTTGGACAGGAAAAGGCAGCAAAGCTTTTTAAAGTTTTCAAGCATCTAAACAAACACTACTGAGCGTTGTACATTTCTAAAAATAAGAAATTCTTCAAGCTGCAGAAGCCACTACTGTCAATCCTGTTTTGGTGTTTGTATCAATACATGCAAATCTTAAAAATGCCATTGCATAAAGAAACATTTAAAAATGCTATATTTTATATTAAATAAAACATTCTGTACATTCTTGAGTCTTACACTAAAGTTTTCTGTTTTGTTTTTTTCTTGTTCTATTTTACTAGATCAAGTGCTTTATTTCAAAAAAAAAAAAAGAAAAATTGTGTTTTAAATCCAATGCCTATGTTTTAAAACATGTTTTAAAATGTTTTTTTTTTAAAATCATGCCAACCCTGCTTAAAATACTTATTTTTAATCCCCATAGATAGAAATGCAACTCTGAATAACTAGATTTTGGCTAATAATGACAATATGGCATGAGTACATAACTTTACTCAATATTGGCTTCTGAATTTGTAATGAGAGGGATTTTTTTTGAGTGCACGAAAGACTTTTACATACCAGAAAGGAATTTTTGTTTCCTATAACCTAAAGACACTAAGCAGAAGTTTCAGTTTTGAGTCCTGCTCAGGGCCGAGTATTTTCTTCCAGAAAATTCTAGTCCGATAGTCTGATAATTCGGCAGGTCGTTTGGCTTTAAAATTATTTTTGATTCCCACATCTTAAGCACGAGGAAATCACCAAAAATGTGAGAAAAGTGAAAAAAATGACTCAAAAGGTGAGAAAAGTGAGGATACTTCAAAAAGGTGAGTACAAGTGAGAAAAGCGAGTAACTCCAAGGCCTGAGAATTTAATTTTCGTAATGCAAATTTGAAAATTTTTTAATTTTGTTTATTATTTTGAAATTACATATATTAATGTCTCGACAAAAGACAGTTTTTAATTACTAAAAGTTTTAAAATTAAAAATTAAACTTATATAGAGAAGGAAAGCTTATTACTGAAACAAGATAATCCACAATAATAAAAAAAATTAACATATTTATTAAATAAAAATTTAAATATTAAAATTATGATTTACCTTATTTAAAGCATGAACATCTATTTTGTTTGCACCTATATCTTTTAAGTCTCTTTCAGCATCATATTTCAAGTCATTGGATACACTTAACCTGTAACATAAACAAGTTTATAAGTTTTATAAAATTATATATTTATTCGCAAAAGTTCTACTTTCAAAATAAAATGTTACCATAAAGCTCTTTTTCTTCCAAGTAAATAATTTTCATAAATAATTCCAGCCAAGGTTCTACCTTTTCCAACACCAGCACCATCACCTATATTTAATAAATAATTGTGGATTGTTTCTACTAATTTATTATAAAATGATAAACTTAAAAGCAACCATATTTCAAACTTACTTTCAGCTTTTTTTTTTTTTTTAATAATAAAATGATTGAAAAATACATAAAATATATCTTACCTATAAGAAAACCAGCTCTAGTACCATTAGGCAAAAGTGTCTCATGTTGTTGAGAGGCATACACAATAGATTCTAATTGTAAAGCTGATAGCAAGCATCTATCAATTGCTTCTTCTGGAATGGACATTTTGTACCACACATCAGGTGGTTGTACACTAGATAAAGAATTTGTTTCAACAATTGGATCTGGATGGAATTCTCCAACTTTCACTAAAATAAATAAAAATTGCTATTAATAAATAACACTCAAAATTAGATATATATATATTAAATAAAATAAGTTACTCATTTATTACAAAAAATATATCTATCACATATAAATAGATCAGTATAAATATATAATAAACACAAAATTATTATGATAAAATCAAGAAAAAAAATCTTTTATGACAACTATGACCTTTTTGCTTGTTGGATTTAAATTAGTCACAATCCTCTAGTTTGTAGATTGTACATTTTGGAGTAAAAGCATAAGCATTTCAACTGTAAGGTCCATCATGCAACCTACAAGAAATTACTTGAAAATTGATCTCTAAAAAAATAACAGACACCAAAAAGAAAAAGATATTGCCAGAGCTCAAAAACAGAAGAATCCAGTTGAATAAATCTACTTGTGCAAGGATCTGTACACAAATGAGACACAGATAAGTGTTGAAGTGACAAAAGGCTAAAGAGAAAAATTTCAATCATTACAAATGTTTACAAAAGTGATCAAATTCAGTCAGTATGCCAACCAAAAAGTGAACACAATTTCTGCAGAAAGCAAGAAAATCCATTGTTTGCTCAGAGGACAAGTATGCAGTAATTCTTTACTTTGCTTTATACTGTAAGTTATTCTCCACTATTTTAATGACTAGCAATAGTCCAATCTTTAACAGTTCTAAGTATTAGATAGGGTTTATACAAAAACTGACTTTTTAAGAAAAATAAACAATAATGAATGCCTACAAAATATTTTTCCTAAGAAAATATGGTTTTAGAAAGCAAAAAACATCTATAAATCTATTGCTCAACTGTGTCCTTATTTTGCACACAAAATTGTCAGAAACAGAAAAAAACTCTCTCACTTGCTACTGAGCTGGATTTAATCATCTTTAAAGCATTAAATAATAAATCTAAACTGTTTAGTTCTTCTGTTTGTACCCTCTAATACTAAAACTACTTCTTTAGTGTCCTATAGCTGGATGAAGTCCCTTTTTCAAGTTTTTGAAAATATTTATGTAATCCTTTGATGTAATCCAAGATAAGGTTCCTTTGACTTTTTTGCTCCTATAGATAAGCTCTACAACTCTGATAAGGTCCCAACTGTCTCATTCAGAGATTGAACTGAGCCGAATTGGACGCTTTTTAGGCGTAGGGGAATTTTTTGTTTTGTAATTAGTTTTATGAAACTTAGTATTTAATAAAATTCCTGTTTTAAGCCAGAGATGATTTTGTGTCTAAATGCAGATGTTTTTAATCAAATAATTAATTAATTTTTATGCTTTAAGTGTAGGCTCAAAAACTAAGTGTTTTTTTTACCTGGGAAACCCCAGTTTTCAAATTATGCAAATTTCTTCAAAAAAACCAGTTTTTCAAAACTAGGTTTTAAAAACCGACAAACCCTAGTATTAGAAGAAATATTAAGCTTGTTTTAATCTAATAAAGGGAAAAACTCCCTGCTTTGGCCAGCAATTCCCATGCCTTAGCATTCATAAAAGAGAAACTATTGCAGGTCTGGAAATTAAGACAAAGGCAAACAGCATTCTGAGAAAATACTGAAGTGAACTGACAAGAATCAAATGCCTTTGAGGTAGCACACTGTTGAAAACAATGTCGATAGCCTTGTTTTTTTCAAAGAAGATACCAGGGCTGTAGATTTGGAGTCGTCAAATATCCCCCAACTCTGACTCCTTTTTATTTTCTGAACTTGTTATGAATATAAAAAATGAAAAAAATAATGTGAAATAAAGGGAAAAATTTGAGCACATGTGCATATGTTGGCATATAATTTGTTTAGTTTCTTTATTTTGTTCTGAAATATTAAACAATATTTCAGAATAAGTAAACTTTAAGAAACAACATTTGGCACAGTAGCATGTGCATAAAGGACATTAATGCTATTAAATTTTGGTTCTTAATTAAAGGTCAACAGGGTAGACACATAAAAGGGGTCATGTGTCATATCTCCAGTGTGGTTGGACTTAATGAATATTTTATTCGTTATTAGCATTCACAATCTTATAATATAATTGAGATAAATTAATAATAATAATAATAATCTCAGAGTTCAAATGGTTAGGAGTTGAAAAAGTTGAAATTTGGTACACAGTTAGGATATGTCATAAGAATGTATACTAAGAAGGAATTTTTCAAAATTCCTCTCGCATGGGGAGAGGGAGAGGGTTAAGGATTACCCAAAGAACTCCGTTTCTACTGTACTATTTTAGATGCTTTTTTTTTTGCATTTTTGAGAATAATCGAACATACTTTTAGACCCATCTAAAACTTTTCTAATTAGTCTCGGAAGAGGGAAACCTAATTCTTGCACCCAGTGAAAATGGGTAAGATTGGCTATAATCTAATAATCTTAATCTTTGTTATCGTTACTTTTTGCCCGAACAACATCTGGCTCATCTGCTAGTTTTTTTTTTATATTTTTTATAAAACTTGTCTCTACCCTCAAAATTAAGCTTGAGTTCTAATATGAATACAGACAGAAAAGGAAATCTTACAAAATTTGATGATGGTATTTACTATGCACTGGAAAAAAGAAATCACGTTGCTTATTTTTCAAGTTTGGATGTTAAATCGGCAATACTGCACAATCCAGACATTATCCAAGATACAGCATTGCCACCAATCAAATTTCAGTAGAGCATTTATTTTCCACTCTTAAAATTATTAAATATGATTTTTAAGAGCTTCAGTGAATGCTGGCTTAATAAAAATGCTTTTTTTTTTGTAAGGAGTAATTCAGTTTATAAGAGATGAAAAATAATAAATTAACCCTGTACATCCACCATCTTATTTACGTTTGTCTTGTGTTCCCTTCTAAGGCAATGTAGGTCAGTCAGGCAATATTATTTTAAAAATTCACCAAAAATCAAATTATCATTATATTCATACGAAAAAAATTACCTACATTTATTAATATCTTTCGTTTTAAATACAATATTTTTCAATACATTTTATAAGAAAAAAATCGCCAATAAAAAAAATAAAATAAAATGTCAGAACTGAACAGCATAACTTGAGTATTTATAACACATTGACCTATTATAGCTAAATTAACTTATTATAGCATAAATGAACTTATTATAGTGATATTATTTCATAAATATGCTATAAATGGAATCCATGCTATCTTTTCCATCTTCTTTCTCTATATGTGAATTATATTTTATTAGTATTATTTAGTTTTTGGAATATTATATGTAGTCAGAGGAAANCAAAATTATTATGATAAAATCAAGAAAAAAAATCTTTTATGACAACTATGACCTTTTTGCTTGTTGGATTTAAATTAGTCACAATCCTCTAGTTTGTAGATTGTACATTTTGGAGTAAAAGCATAAGCATTTCAACTGTAAGGTCCATCATGCAACCTACAAGAAATTACTTGAAAATTGATCTCTAAAAAAATAACAGACACCAAAAAGAAAAAGATATTGCCAGAGCTCAAAAACAGAAGAATCCAGTTGAATAAATCTACTTGTGCAAGGATCTGTACACAAATGAGACACAGATAAGTGTTGAAGTGACAAAAGGCTAAAGAGAAAAATTTCAATCATTACAAATGTTTACAAAAGTGATCAAATTCAGTCAGTATGCCAACCAAAAAGTGAACACAATTTCTGCAGAAAGCAAGAAAATCCATTGTTTGCTCAGAGGACAAGTATGCAGTAATTCTTTACTTTGCTTTATACTGTAAGTTATTCTCCACTATTTTAATGACTAGCAATAGTCCAATCTTTAACAGTTCTAAGTATTAGATAGGGTTTATACAAAAACTGACTTTTTAAGAAAAATAAACAATAATGAATGCCTACAAAATATTTTTCCTAAGAAAATATGGTTTTAGAAAGCAAAAAACATCTATAAATCTATTGCTCAACTGTGTCCTTATTTTGCACACAAAATTGTCAGAAACAGAAAAAAACTCTCTCACTTGCTACTGAGCTGGATTTAATCATCTTTAAAGCATTAAATAATAAATCTAAACTGTTTAGTTCTTCTGTTTGTACCCTCTAATACTAAAACTACTTCTTTAGTGTCCTATAGCTGGATGAAGTCCCTTTTTCAAGTTTTTGAAAATATTTATGTAATCCTTTGATGTAATCCAAGATAAGGTTCCTTTGACTTTTTTGCTCCTATAGATAAGCTCTACAACTCTGATAAGGTCCCAACTGTCTCATTCAGAGATTGAACTGAGCCGAATTGGACGCTTTTTAGGCGTAGGGGAATTTTTTGTTTTGTAATTAGTTTTATGAAACTTAGTATTTAATAAAATTCCTGTTTTAAGCCAGAGATGATTTTGTGTCTAAATGCAGATGTTTTTAATCAAATAATTAATTAATTTTTATGCTTTAAGTGTAGGCTCAAAAACTAAGTGTTTTTTTTACCTGGGAAACCCCAGTTTTCAAATTATGCAAATTTCTTCAAAAAAACCAGTTTTTCAAAACTAGGTTTTAAAAACCGACAAACCCTAGTATTAGAAGAAATATTAAGCTTGTTTTAATCTAATAAAGGGAAAAACTCCCTGCTTTGGCCAGCAATTCCCATGCCTTAGCATTCATAAAAGAGAAACTATTGCAGGTCTGGAAATTAAGACAAAGGCAAACAGCATTCTGAGAAAATACTGAAGTGAACTGACAAGAATCAAATGCCTTTGAGGTAGCACACTGTTGAAAACAATGTCGATAGCCTTGTTTTTTTCAAAGAAGATACCAGGGCTGTAGATTTGGAGTCGTCAAATATCCCCCAACTCTGACTCCTTTTTATTTTCTGAACTTGTTATGAATATAAAAAATGAAAAAAATAATGTGAAATAAAGGGAAAAATTTGAGCACATGTGCATATGTTGGCATATAATTTGTTTAGTTTCTTTATTTTGTTCTGAAATATTAAACAATATTTCAGAATAAGTAAACTTTAAGAAACAACATTTGGCACAGTAGCATGTGCATAAAGGACATTAATGCTATTAAATTTTGGTTCTTAATTAAAGG